CGATATAGGCCGACTTGTACGGCGAAGCCGTCAGCCCGTGCGCCGAGGCGATGTTGACGATCCGGCCCCAGCCCTTGTTCTTCATCATCGGAATGGCCGCCGCCGCCGTGTGGAAAGCCGACGACAGATTGATTGCGATGATCGCGTCCCATTTCTCCGTCGGAAACTCCTCGACCGGCGCCACATGCTGGATGCCGGCATTGTTGACGAGGATGTCGACCGATCCGAAACGTTCGGCCGCCTTGTCCACCAGCATGCGCGATTGATCGGCTTTCGAGAGGTCTGCCTGGATGTACACGGTCTCATTGCCGGCGCTCGCGGCGATCTCCCTGGCCAGCGCATGATCATCGTCCGTATCGGTGTAGGAATTGAGCACCACATTGTGCCCTTCGGCGGCGAGCGCCCGGGCTATGCCCAACCCGATACCGGAATTGGAACCCGTGACGATGGCGGTCTTGAGTGCGTCGCTGGCCATGCTTGTCCCCGTTTGCGATGCTGTCGTTGCGGTGCAACATAGGCCGGCGATAAAGGCTTGTCATCGCCCTGGCATGATTGTGATGACAGTTTGCCGCCGCCAGCCGGCCGCCAAGACGGCGCCGATTGCGGCGCGTCATCGAAGCCGCTAGAACCGGAGCGGATCAAACAAGAAACCGTCATGAACACTTTGGCAGCTCCTCTTCCGAGACGAAAATCGGTTCCCGTCAATGTCGGCGGCGTCGTCGTCGGCGGCGATGCACCGGTCATGGTCCAGTCCATGACCAACACCGATACCGCCGATATCGACGCGACGGTCGCCCAGTGTGCCGCGCTGCACAGAGCCGGATCGGAAGTGGTCCGCATCACTGTCGACCGCGACGAAAGCGCCGCCGCCGTGCCGCGAATTCGCGAACGGCTGGAGCGGCTTGGCCATGACGTGCCGCTCGTCGGCGACTTCCATTACATCGGCCACAAGCTTCTGGCCGATCATCCGGCCTGTGCCGAGGCGCTGGCCAAATACCGCATCAATCCGGGCAATGTCGGCTTCAGGGACAAGCGCGACCGGCAGTTCATCGAGATCGTCGAAATGGCGATCCGTCATGACAAGCCCGTGCGCATCGGCGTCAATTGGGGCTCGCTGGACCAGGAACTGCTGACACGCCTGATGGACGAAAATCAGAAGAAGGGTTTCCCGATGTCCGCCGATGAGGTGACGCGGGAAGCCATCGTCCGGTCGGCACTGCTGTCGGCCGAACTCGCCGAACAGACCGGGTTGCCGCGCAACAAGATCCTTTTGTCGGCAAAGGTTTCGCGCGTTCAGGACCTGATCGCCGTCTACACCGACCTGGCAGCGCGCTGCGACCACGCCCTGCATCTCGGCCTGACGGAAGCCGGCATGGGGTCCAAGGGCATCGTCGCCTCCTCGGCGGCGCTTGCCGTTCTGCTCCAACAGGGTATCGGCGACACGATCCGCATTTCCCTGACGCCGGAGCCCGGCGGCGACCGCACCAAGGAAGTTCAGGTCGCGCAGGAGTTGCTCCAGTCCATGGGATTCCGGCAGTTCGTACCGCTTGTTGCCGCCTGCCCAGGCTGCGGCCGTACGACATCGACGGTGTTTCAGGAACTGGCCCGCAAGATCGAGGACGATCTTCGGCGCAACATGCCCGTCTGGCGCCAAAAATATCCAGGCGTAGAGGAGCTCAAGGTCGCGGTCATGGGCTGCATCGTCAACGGACCGGGAGAATCCAAGCACGCCGACATCGGCATTTCGCTGCCGGGCACGGGCGAAACACCCGCCGCGCCGGTCTTCGTCGACGGCAAGAAGGCCGCCACGCTGCGCGGCGACGACATTGCGGGCAAGTTCGAGGCAATGGTCACCGACTATATCGAGGCACGCTTCGGCGAAGGCGGCAAGGATGCCGCCGCTTGAGGTCAAGCCAAAGCCTGTAGCTTCGTCGCTCATTGCGGCGCTGTTGACTTGTTTCGCCACCGCAACAAGTTGGGCAATCGAAGATGACTCGTTCGAAGAAGTCGGTCACGGAGCGATTTGTTCGCTGATCGAACGCGAAGCACACCGCAACGGTCTGCCGCCGGCCTTTTTTGCCCGCCTGATCTGGAAGGAAAGCCGGTTCGATGCGCTGGCCGTGTCCCCCAAGGGCGCCGAGGGCATCGCCCAGTTCATGCCGGCGACCGCCGAACGGCGCGGCCTCGACAACAGTTTCGACCCGACTGAGGCCTTGCCCGCCTCCGCGACCTACCTTGCCGCGCTGCGTCTGCAGTTCGGCAATCTCGGCCTTGCCGCCGCGGCGTACAATGCCGGTGAGGCGCGCATCGATCGCTGGCTGGTGGGTGCTTCGACGCTGCCGCTTGAAACCGAGGATTACGTACTGTCGATCACCGGTGAACCCGCCGAGATTTTCATCGAACGACGCCGCGAGATCCGCGACCATCCTCTTGAGGAGGGAAAACCCTTCGGCGAATCATGCGTGCGGATGGCATCGGCGGCGGGGTTCGGCGTTGCCGGCCTGGCCCAGGCTCCGGTCAAGCCATGGGGCGTTCAGGTTGCCGGCGGTTACAGGCGCGCGGCCGTGATGCGGCAGTGGGACCGAATCAAGCGCAGACACAGCACGCTGCTGGCCGGTTTGCCGGTTAATATCGGACGCCACAGCAGCCCGCTCGGACCGAAACCGATTTACGCGGTGCGGATCGGCGCGGATTCTCGGATCGAAGCCAATGCGATCTGCGGGCGGCTGCGCGCCGCCGGCAGCGCCTGTGTCATCAAGAAGAACTGAATCCGGCTAATTTGTGCGGTAGGCGATGAAGCGTGCGGCGCCGCACAGAACCGCGGCCCGTGCACCGAAAGGCGCGAGCAACGCTTCGGCTTCCGCGACATGGGCATCGAGCCGGGCGCGGGCCCAATCGACACCGTGCATGCCGACCAGCGTCTGCTTTCCGGCAGCGGCGTCCTTGCCCGTCGCCTTGCCCATCGAGGCACTGTCGGCGGTCACGTCCAGAAGATCGTCGGCCAGTTGAAACGCCAGCCCAATCACTTCGCCGAAGCGGCGCATGCGCGCCCTCTCTGTTCCGCCGGCCGCGATCGCACCGGCTTCGCATGCGTAGCGGATCAGCGCGCCCGTCTTCATGGCGTGGATGGTCGTGATCATGTCGGACGCAGCATCGCCATGCTCGAGCGACAGATCGAGCATTTGCCCGCCGACCATCCCGCCGAGCCCCGCCGAGCGGGCCAGAAGCAACACCAGTTCGCTGCGCCTCTCGGCCGGCAATCCAGCCGAGCCCGATATGGTCAGATCGAACGCCAGCGTCACAAGCGCATCGCCCGCAAGGATTGCCGTCGCCTCATCGAATTTGCGATGCACGGTGGGCTGGCCGCGACGCAGATCGTCGTCATCCATCGACGGCAGATCGTCATGAACCAGCGAATAGCAGTGCACGAGCTCGAGCCCGGCCGCCGCTCCGAGAACGGCATCGTCCAAACCGCCTAGAAGCGCGTTGACTTCGAACAGGAGAAACGGCCGCAGTCTTTTTCCGCCATTGAGAACTGCATGACGCATCGCCGCCAGCAATCGCGCGGGCCGCTCGGTTTCGTGATCGCGCGGGCCGGCCGACAATTGCGTGTCGAGAAACGCCTCGACAAGGACTGCGCGATCGGAAAGGGACTGACGGAAGGCATCATGATCGGACATGGCTTGCTTTTGGCGTTTTCGTCTCCGATCTGCAATAAGCCTTGTACATGCAGGCGATTGATCGTCCTCAGTCGCCGCAGCGCAACCAAGCAGCCGGGACCATGATCAGGTGAGCCGAGCCAAAGCGACATCGAAGACGGCCGGCAAGGCGGCACGCGGCGCAGCGCCGGCCGGTTCCGACCAAAAGAGGGCAGCTGAGGCAAAGCGCGCCTCAAAGCGCCGGTCCCTTCTTCGGCGGCGTTGGGTTTTCTATCCTCTCGTCACACTGTTTGTCCTGGCAGCGTTGCCGCTGCTGCTCACGCTTGTCTACCGCATGGAGGTCGTACGCCCGGTATCGACGCTGATGCTGTCTCGAATGATCACGCTGCAGCCGGTCGACCGGCAATGGGTGGAGATCGACGATGTCACGCCGCGCCTTTATCAGTCTGTGATGATGTCCGAGGACGGCCAGTTCTGCGCCCATCACGGGGTGGATTTGCGTGAGTTGCAGGCGGTGGTCGGAGATGCGCTGGAGGGCGAGCGCGTACGCGGCGCATCGACCATCACCATGCAGACGGCCAAGAACCTGTTTCTTTGGAGCGGCCGATCCTTCATCCGCAAAGGCCTGGAGGTGCCGCTTGCGATCTGGATCGATCTGGTCTTGCCCAAAGAGCGGATCATGGAGATCTATCTGAACATCGCCGAATGGGGCCCGAGCGGCCAGTTCGGCATCAAGGCCGGCGCCGCTCATCATTTCGGCCGAGCGCCCGATGGACTGACAAACCGCCAATCGGCCCTTTTGGCGGTCACGCTGCCCAACCCCCATGTCCGCGATCCGGCCCGCCCTGGCGCGGGGATGCAAAGGGTGGCCGACATCGTCCAGCGGCGTGCCGCGCAGTCGGGCGCCTATGTCGGATGCCTGCCCCGGTAAGGCGCCAAAAAACGCGGGGCGCCATCTTCCAAAACCCGTAGCGATTGTGTATAGGCCACCCACTTTTCCGCGCATGACGGTATGTGACGGACCGGTCACCGGTCAGGTCACACTGTTGCGCCGATATCTGGAGAAACGAAAATGGCTGTACCCAAGAGGAAGGTCACCCGCGCCAAGCGCGGCATGCGCCGTTCGACCGACGCGCTGAAGAACCCGGCCTATGTCGAGGACAAGGCATCGGGCGAATTGCGCCGACCGCACCATGTCGATCTGAAGACCGGCATGTATCGCGGCCGTCAGGTTCTCGCCCCCAAGGAAGACTAGGTCTTTCGCGTGGTCTGAAAAAACCCGCGCTGGCTTCGGCCGGCGCGGGTTTTTGTGTTGGCGGCTTGTAGAGCCGACTGAGACGCCTACTGGTCGATCAGGCTTGCCGCATAGGCAATGGCACGCTGGTAATTGCCGCTGTCGTTCCAAGCCGAAAGCACACGGAAATTGCGCGATCCCTCGGTGAAGGGCTGGCCGGCGCGCCAGCCATTGCGGCGCAGCATGTTGGCCGCGGTCGCCAGCGCGTCGGCGGAATTGTTGGGATCGGCGCGCCCGTCTCCGCTGCCATCGACCGCGAACCGGATCCAGTTGCCCGCCAGAAACTGCATGTGGCCCAGTTCACCGGACGGTCCGCCACGGCTGTTGCCCGAGATGACGCCGCGATCGACGAGCTTCAGCGCGGCGATCGCATCGTCCTCGAACCGCGGGTGGCGCCGGCAGTAGGATGCGAGCGTCACCGCGCCGCTTACGATCGGCGTGTCGCCCGTATAGCCGCCCCAGGATGTCTCATAACCCCAGATCGCAACGAGGATCGAGCCGGGCACGCCATACTGGCGTTCAAGCGCCTGAAACAGGCCGGCCTTCTGGCCCAAACGGCGCTTTGCCCCCGAAACGAACGAGTTGACGCTTGAAAAGCGGCTTCTGAGAAACTGTTCCGGGCTCCGGTAGCGGGTTCCGGTCTGGGAGGAGGGGTTGGATTCGAAGCGCCATGTAATCCCCGAAATCCCGGATTGCTGCAGGGCCTGCATGCCGCGCTGGCCGACCCCGGCCGATGCGGCCTGCTGGGCGAGCGCCTGCTTGTAGGCCTCGAACTGGCCTTGGCTGGTGATGCATCGCGCCGCATGTGCCGGCGCCGTTGCGAGTACGCCAGCCAATACCAGCCCTACACCCAACCGGACCCATTTCGGTGTCATGTGAAACTCCCTTATCTGTAAAGGAATGCTCCGGACTGGCCGTCGCGGAGCTCCGCCCCGGCGCACATTGCCGGATTCGCTCAAGAAAGTCAGTCACAAACACTGCAAAAAAATGAAACCGCCTTCATCGGGTGCCGAATATGGCCGATCCGACGCGGACGCTGGTCGCGCCAAAGACGATTGCGGTCTCGAAATCGCCCGACATGCCCATCGACAAGCGCGCGACACCGCATTCGGCAGCCAGTTTCTTGAGAAGCGCAAAATGCGGCCCCGGATTTTCGTCCAACGGCGGAATGCACATCAACCCCTCGATCTCGAGACCAAGCTCGTCGCGGCATTTGGCAACGAAGACGGCCGCGTCGGGTGGCGCGACGCCTGCCTTTTGCGGCTCCTCGCCGGTGTTCACCTGCACATAAAGCCTCGGACTGCGGCCTTGTTTGACCATCTCTTTGGCCAGCGCCCTGGCGATCTTCTCGCGGTCGACGCTTTCGATCACGTCGAACAGGGCAACGGCCTCGGCGGCCTTGTTCGACTGCAGGGGACCGATCAGGTGAAGTTCGATGTCATCATAGGTTTCGCGCAGGCCCGGCCATTTGCCCGCCGCCTCCTGGACGCGGTTCTCGCCGAACACGCGATGACCCCGTTCAAGAACGGGTCGGATGGCATCGGCATCGAACGTCTTGCTGACGGCAACGAGCGTGACGGCTTCCGGGGTACGCCCTGCCGTCCGCGCGGCCGTGGCGACAGCTGCGACGACGGTGTCGAAGCGATCCGCCGAGGTCAGGTACGATGTGTTCCGCTGGTGATCCGACACGTTTCCCGCCCCTGCCGCATGGTTGACGCTGTACTCATTTGCCGGCATGACACCGGCGCGCATCCGACAGCTTAAGTGCATGCCGATGCTCCGATTTCAAGCCGCATGGCCGCCCACCGGACAGCTCTGACCCGATGACGACACCTGAACGTTACAATCCGCGCGCATCCGAGCCCAAATGGCAAAAGGCCTGGGACGAGGCCAGGCTGTTCGAGACCGATAATGCCGATCCCCGGCCGAAATATTACGTCCTCGAGATGTTTCCCTATCCGTCCGGGCGCATTCATATCGGTCACACGCGCAACTATACGATGGGAGATGTCGTCGCCCGCCACAAGCGCGCCATGGGCTACAATGTGCTGCACCCGATGGGCTGGGACGCATTCGGCATGCCGGCGGAAAACGCGGCCATGCAGAACAAGGTTCATCCGCGCGACTGGACCTACCAGAACATCGGCACGATGCGTGCCCAACTCAAACTGATGGGCCTTTCGATCGACTGGTCGCGCGAATTTGCCACCTGCGATGTCGACTATTACCACCGCCAGCAGATGCTGTTCGTCGATTTCCTCGAAGCCGGCCTCGTCGGTCGCCGTGTCTCCAAGGTCAATTGGGACCCGGTCGACCAGACCGTTCTGGCCAACGAACAGGTGATCGACGGCAAGGGTTGGCGCTCGGGCGCCGAGGTCGAGCAGCGCGAACTGGCTCAATGGGTCTTCAAGATCACCGATTTCAGCCAGGATCTGCTCGATTCCATAGACGATCTCGACGGGTGGCCGGACAAAGTGCGCCTGATGCAGCGCAACTGGATCGGGCGCTCCGAGGGCCTTTCGATCCGCTGGGCGCTGACACCTGAAACGGCGCCCGAAGGCGAAACGGAACTCGAAGTCTATACGACCCGGCCCGATACTCTGTTCGGGTCGTCCTTCATGGCGATCGCAGCCGATCATCCGCTGGCCAGGAAGGCAGCCGAGACGAACGCCGCGCTCGCCGCCTTCTGCGAGGAATGCCGCCGCATGGGGACATCGGTCACCGCGCTCGAAACAGCCGAGAAGAAAGGTTTCGATACCGGCATCAAGGTCCGGCACCCGTTCGACGCCGACTGGGAACTGCCCGTCTACGTCGCAAACTTCGTCCTGATGGACTACGGCACCGGCGCGATCTTCGGCTGCCCCTCGGGCGACCAGCGCGACCTCGATTTCGCGCGCAAGTACGACCTGCCGGTCGTGCCCGTCGTGTTGCCGCCAGACGCCGACGCCGAGGACTTTGCGATCGGCGAGGAGGCCTGGACCGGCGACGGCACGATGATCAACTCGTCGTTCCTCGACGGCATGACGCCGGCCGACGCTTTCGCCGCCATTGCCGACCGTCTGGAAGCGATGGAATTGGACGGTCGTCCGCAAGGCGACCGGCAAGTGCAGTTCAAGCTGCGCGACTGGGGCATTTCGCGCCAGCGCTACTGGGGGTGTCCGATCCCGGTCGTCCACTGCGACGATTGCGGCCTGGTGCCGGTGCCGAAGGCGCAATTGCCCGTCACGCTTCCGGACGATATCACGTTCGAACGGCCGGGCAATCCGCTGGACCATCATCCGGCATGGAAACATGTTGACTGCCCGTCCTGCGGAAAGCCCGCGCGCCGCGAAACCGACACGATGGACACGTTTGTCGATTCGTCCTGGTACTTCGCGCGCTTCACCGCGCCGAACGAGGATGCCCCGACCGACCCCGACGCGGCCAATGCCTGGCTGCCCGTCGATCAGTATATTGGCGGCATCGAGCACGCCATTTTGCACCTTCTCTATTCTCGCTTCTTCGCCCGCGCGATGAGCCGCACTGGGCACATGGCCGTCGACGAACCGTTCAACGGGCTTTTCACCCAGGGCATGGTCGTCCACGAGACCTACCGGTCCGAAGACGGAGGCTGGCTCGATCCCGGTCAGGTCCGGATCGAAGGGCATGATTCGAACCGCAAGGCCTTCGACGCCGACACCGGCAAGCCGGTGACCATCGGGCCGCTCGAAAAAATGTCCAAGTCCAAGAAGAACACGATCGGACCGGAGGACATCACCCAGAGCTTCGGCGCGGACACAGCACGCTGGTTCATGCTTTCGGATTCGCCGCCCGAGCGTGACGTGGAATGGACCGATTCGGGCGCCGAGGGCGCGCATCGCTTCATCCAGCGTGTCTGGCGCCTCGTCGCGGGCGCCGCGCCGACCATCGCGGCCGGTGACCCGTCCGCCGCGAACGGCGATTTCGCGGCTATGCGAAAGGCTGCGCACAAGGCGCTCAAGGGTGTGGGCGAGGATTTCGAACGGCTGGCCTTCAACAAGGCCATTGCCCGCATCCATGAACTGGTCAACGCAATCGCCCCTGTGATCGAAAGGGCGGGGAGCGGAAACGATCGGGCCGGCAAGGCGGCAGCCCATGAGGCCCTGTCCATCCTTATCCAGATCATGGCGCCGATCGCGCCGCACCTGGCCGAGGAATGCTGGGCCATTCTGGGGCATGCGGACATGGTGGCCAAGGAGCCCTGGCCGGCATTCGATCCGGCGCTGATCGCCGACGACACGATCGTCCTGCCGGTGCAGATCAACGGCAAGAAACGCGGCGAGATCGCGGTCGCGCGTGATGCGGAAAGGGACAGCGTCGAGGCATCGGCCCTGGAGCTTGACGCCGTGCAGCGCCATTTGAACGGCGCGGCGCCCAAAAAGGTGATTGTGGTGCCGGGCCGCATCGTCAATATAGTCGCATGATGAAGATCGCGCCTGATCAACGCCGGAGATGGAGCGTCACGCGCCGGACGGCGATGCTGGGCGCGCTGGCGATGCTGGGCGGCTGCACGGTGCAGCCGCTCTACCATGCCGGCTCGACAGACTTCATCGTGTCGACAGCGCCGCTCAGCCGGGTCAGCGTCGATGGTGTCGATGACCGGATCGGCCAGCAGGTCCGCAACGAACTTGTCTTCCTGCTCTACAATGGCGGCTCCGTGGACCCGTCGGCCGATCACCGCGCATCGCTGGCCGTTTCATCGTCCACCGTTGACATTTTCCGCGTGTCGGCGCCGGACGGCTCGACCAACATCACGGCCAGGCGCGTGACGCTAACGGGAACGCTGACGCTGACGCGGATCGAGGACGGCGTCACCATCGCCTCCGAAACCCGGTCGGCAACCGCCTCCTTCGACAATACGCGGCAGGAATTCGCCAATCTGCGTGCTTTGCGCGATGCCGAGAACCGCGCGGCCGCCGAACTCGCCGAACGGTTCCGGATCGTCGTGGCGACGGCGCTCGCCGCCCGCTGAGGCGCGCGTACCTTGGCCCAGCTCAAGAACCACGAGGCCGACCGCTTCATCGCCCGGCCCGATCGCGACTACACGATCTATCTGGTCTACGGGCCGGATCACGGTCTGGTGTCGGAACGCGCCTCGGCGCTGGCCAAAGGGAGCGGTGTGCCGCTGGACGATCCGTTCAGCACGATTCGCATCGACGCCGCGAGCCCTGGGGCGGACCCCGAACGGCTCGTCAACGAAGCCTACACGGTCGGCATGTTCGGCGGCCGCCGGCTGATCTGGCTCCGAGGCGCGGGAAACGATCGAGCACTGCTCGGCCAGATCGACATGCTGCTCGGCGACCCGCCAGCGGACACGATGATCATTGTCGAGGCCGGCGATCTCAAGAAGGGCGGTCTGCGCGGGGCGGTCGAAAAGGCTCCGGCCGGCCTCGCCATTGCCTGCTACACCGACAACGACAGGGCACTTCAGGAGCTGATCGACCGCACATTTTCTGCGGCCGGACTACGGCTGGAACTCGATGCGCGTCGTTTTCTGATCGATCATCTTGGCGGCGACCGGGCCGCCTCGCGCGCCGAACTGGACAAGATCGCGCTTTATGCGCTCGGCCAGCCAACGGTGACACTGTCTGACGTGCAGGCCATTTGCGGCGACGCGTCGGCACTGGGGTTTGACGACATTTCGATGGCCGTGCTGACGGGCGATCTCAAGGCGCTCGACCGCGCGGTGGTGAAATTCGAAAGCGGAGGCGGTGCGCCATCGGCGCTGCTGGCGATCCTGACACGGCAGTTCCAGGCGCTGGACCGGATCCGTGCCGACATGGACATGCAGGGGAAAAATCCCGCCGCGGCGGTGGCCCACGCGAGGCCGCCGGTCTTCTTCGCGCGCCGCCAGGCAATGGAGCATGCGGTCGCTATATGGAACGCGCCCGCCATTCGCGCCGGGCTTGGCCGTTTGCGTGAAGCAGTCCTTCAGGCCCGCAAGTCGCGACACCTCGAAACCGACGTCCTGCGTATGACGTTGCTGGCGCTCACTGTCCAGAGCGCTCGCCGGCGTTAGGGTTCAGATCGTTTCGATCGCGAATCAAAATCGGAATCTATTGGCGTTGCAGAAGACGGCATAGATCGTCGAGTTGCTCAAGCGACTGGTAGGCAATGCGCACTTCGCCACCCTTTGCCTTCGGCTGGATTTCGACGCGGTAGCCTGACGCATCGGACAAGGTCTTCTCGAGCGCGACAAGATCGGTATCTTTTGCCGGCTTTCCAATGGATCGATCGTCGCCGCCAACCGGCTTTTGGGCCAATGCCTCTGCCTGGCGCACGGACAATCCCTCTGCAACGATCTTGCGCGCGATAGCGGCCGGATCATCGGCCGTTACCAGCGTCCGCGCATGGCCGGCCGACAAATCGCCTGCCGAAACCATCGCCTGGACCGAATCGGGGAGTTTCAACAGGCGCAGCGTATTGGCCACATGGCTGCGGCTTTTGCCGATAACGTCACCAAGGTCCGACTGCCCGTAGCCATGGTCGTCCATCAGCTGCCGATAGCCAAGCGCCTCCTCGATCGGATTGAGATCGGAGCGCTGGACGTTTTCGACGATCGCGAGCTCCAGCGCCGAACGGTCGTCGACTTCGCGGACGATCACCGGCACCTCGGTGAGCCCAGCACGTTGCGCCGCGCGCCATCGCCGCTCGCCGGCGATGATCTCATGCGAGGCACCACCGCCCGTTCCCGCCACGGGGCGCACGACGATCGGCTGGATGACGCCGTGATCGCGCATCGATCGGGCAAGATCGTCCAGCTCATCGTCGCTGAAGGTGCGCCTGGGATTGTTGGGATTGCGGGCGATCATTTCGATCGGAACGCTGCGGTCGCTGGCAACCGGTGCCGCCGCGGCCTGCACCGGCTGGTCCATCTCGCCGATCAGTGCCGCCAGTCCGCGGCCCAGCCGCCTGTCCGATCTGTCATCTGCCATCATGATGTCCGTATCGTTCCGGGTTCGAATCCGTTCAGGCGGCCCGCGCGCCGCGCTCGCGTTGAATGACTTCCGACGCCAGGTTGAGATAGGCTTGGCTTCCTGCACATTGCAGATCGTAGAGGATAGCCGGCTTGCCGTGCGACGGGGCCTCGGACAGCCGGACATTGCGGGGGATTACCGTGGTGTAGACGGTATCGCCCATATAGCTGCGCACATCGTCCACCACTTGGTTGGCCAGATTGTTGCGGCCGTCATACATGGTCAGCACGATCCCCTGGATGGTCAGGCCCGGATTGACCGAGCCGCGAATCTGATCGACGGTCTTCAGAAGCTGGCTGAGCCCTTCCAGCGCGAAGAACTCGCACTGCAGCGGCACCAACACGGAATGCGCGGCCGCCATCGCGTTAAGCGTCAGAAGGTTCAGCGAGGGCGGGCAATCGATGATGACATAGGAAAAGCGCCGCACATCCGGCTGACCAAGGGCCGTGCGCAACCGGAAGACGCGGTTGGACGCCGAAGCGATTTCCATCTCGATGCCCAGCAGATCCATGGTCGACGGAACGATCGACAGCCCGGGAACGGCGGTTGCGATGGCTGCGTCGGTGACCGACGCTTCGCCCAGCAGGATCTCGTAGGCTGACACGGTCCTGTCGTCCCGATCGATGCCGAGCCCCGTGCTGGCATTGCCCTGCGGATCGACATCGACCACCAGCACCCGCTCGCCGATTGCGGCAAGCGCCGTTGCCAGATTGATCGCGGTGGTCGTCTTGCCGACGCCGCCTTTCTGGTTGGCAATGGTGATGACCTTGGGTGAACTGGTCATGCCGGTCCCCGGTTCAGTGTGAATTGGGCGCCCGCCGGACCTGGCTGATGTCCAAAATGACCGAGTCCGGGGCAGCAACACTGTCATGTACTACCAGATCGAATCGCCAATGTGCACGGCTTTCCTCCACTTCATCGGCATATCCACGGCCTTTGTGAAACAGGCAGGACGCGCCGGCCGCCAGCCAGGGTTCGGCGAGGGAGAACAGGTCTGCCAGCGGTGCCAGGGTACGCGCCGTAATGACCTCCGGTGCCGGCAGGCGCATCACCGCATCCTCGATGCGGGCGGGATGCACACGGGCGCACGGTGCACAGGCAGCGCGCACCGTCTGCAGGAACGCCGCCTTCTTTCGGTTGCTCTCGATCAGGTCGACACGCGCGCCTTCGGTCTCCGAAAGCAGAATGGCAATCACAATTCCGGGAAAACCGCCGCCCGAGCCAAGATCGGACCAATGGCGGGCGTCTGGTTTCAGTCGCAGCAGCTGCGCACTGTCGGCCACGTGCCGCATCCAGAAATCGCCGCCGGTCGACGCCGCGACGAGATTGATCCGTTTCGACCAAGCATCGAACAGATCGGCAAACTGCGCCATGCGCATCAGCGTTTCACGTGAAACATCGACGCCATCATGGCCTGAAGAAAGCGCAGCGCGCATCGCATCGGGATCGCTCATGCCGCATCGATGTCGGTTCGAAACTCTTGTTTCCGGACATGGGCAATGAGCAGTGCGGCCGCCGCGGGCGTCATGCCGTCGATCCTTTGTGCCTCGGCAATCGACGAGGGGCGGCGTTCGGCAAGCTTCTGCTTCAGCTCGTTGGAGAGCCCGGCAATGCCGTCAAATGACAGATCGCAGGGCAGCAACAGCGCCTCGTCACGACGCACTGCAGCGATGTCTGCGGCCTGGCGCTTCATATAGACGGCATATTGCGCCTCGATTTCCAGCCGCTCGGCGATCGACCGATCGATATCGCAGAGTTCCGGCCAGATGGACGTGAGCCGATCAAAGGTGATGTCGGGATAAGCCATCAGATCATAGGCGGACCGCCGAACGCCGTCGTGATTGATTTCGAGGCCGAATCGGTTGGCTTCCTGCGGCGTCAATGTCACCGAACGGCTCAAATCGCGGGCAGCATCCAGTGCCGTCCTCACGGCGTTGAAGTGCTCGCGCCGTTCTGCGGACGCCAGTCCCGATTCGATCGCCAACGGCGTGAGCCGCATGTCCGCATTGTCGATCCGCAGTGACAGCCGGTATTCGGCGCGTGACGTGAACATGCGATAGGGTTCCGACACGCCGCGCGACGTCAGATCGTCCAGCATCACTCCGATATAGCTCTCGGTTCGGCTGAACAGGACCGGCGCCTGGCCGGCCGCAAAACGTGCCGCATTCAGGCCCGCCACAAGCCCTTGCGCCGCCGCTTCCTCGTAGCCGGTTGTGCCGTTGATCTGGCCGGCGAGATAAAAGCCCGCCACGCTGCGCAACGCCAGGCTGGCATCCAGCGCGCGCGGATCGACATGATCATACTCGATCGCATAACCCGGTTGCAGGATCTTTGCATGCTCGAGCCCCGGTATCGTCTTCAGGACAGCCGCTTGCACATCTTCCGGCAGCGATGTCGAAATGCCGTTCGGGTAGACGGTATGATCGTTCAACCCTTCCGGTTCGAGAAAGATCTGGTGCCCGTCGCGATCGCCGAACTTGACGATCTTGTCTTCGATGGAAGGGCAATAGCGCGGCCCGGTCCCTTCGATCTTGCCCGAGTACATCGCCGAACGACCGATATTGGCGCGAACAACGGCGTGCGTGTCGGCCGTCGTCCGCGTGATGCCGCATTCGATCTGACGATTGACGATGCGCTCCGTCAGCGTCGAGAACGGCACCGGATCGTCGTCTGCGCTCTGCATGGACAGCTGCGACCACGCTATGGTGCGACCGTCAAGCCGCGGCGGCGTGCCCGTCTTCAGACGGCCGAGCGGCACGTTCATCGCCTGCAGCTGGCCGGACAGCGCGTTGCTCGGTGCCTCGCCCATGCGGCCAGCAGCGATGGTCCGGTCGCCGATATGGATGACACCGCGCAGAAAGGTGCCCGTCGTCAGCACCACCGCGCCGGCCGTCAATTCCCGGCCGTCGGCGAGCACCACTCCCTCGACACGGTCGGGCGCCGGCATGCGCAGAGCGGCCACCTCTCCCTCGACTATGTCGAGATTGGCGATGGCGCCGACTTCGTTCTGCATGGCGGTGCGATACAGAGCCCGGTCGGCCTGCGTCCTCGGACCGCGCACGGCCGGCCCCTTCCGGCGGTTCAGCAGGCGGAACTGGATGCCGGCGGCATCCGCGACCCGGCCCATCAATCCGTCCAGCGCGTCGATCTCCCGAACCAGATGCCCTTTGCCCAAACCGCCAATGGCGGGATTGCACGACATGACACCGATCGTATCGAACCGGTGGGTCACAAGAGCCGTCGATGCGCCGACCGCAGCACTCGCACGCGCCGCCTCGACGCCAGCATGGCCGCCGCCGACGATGATGACATCATAGGCTGTGACCATCATCGGCCAGCCTCCAAAAAAGTACGGGTAAAGGGTCTTCTCAGCCGCACATGGCGTGATTGACGGCCGAGGTCAAGCCACGCGCTGTTTCACGTGAAACAACGGGTGGCATATCGCATCCAGGCCAGCGCTGTTTCACGTGAATCACTTGCCGATGCAGAACTGCGAGAAAATCGTTCCCAGCATGTCCTCAACATCGATGCGGCCCGTTATCCGCCCGAGCTGCTCTCCGGCGAGACGCAAATGCTCGGCCCTCAGCTCCAACGGCATTTGTTCCGACAGCGAATCGATCAGGTGGGTCTTGCAGGCAGCCAGATGTTGCATGTGTCGGGCACGTCCCGGCGCGAGATCCGAGCCTCCGGCGCCGTCCCGGGCGAAATCGGTCAGCGCGGCAACCAGCGCCTCGAGCCCCTCACCTGTCATAGCGCTCAGTGAATAATCGGCTGCTTGGACCGGCGTCGCGCCGTCCACGGTCAAATCGACCTTGGTGCGCACGGTCCAGACCGCCGGGCCATCAGGCAGTTGGGGCATCTCGAACAAACCCGTCTCCGATACGTGCAACACAAGGTCGGCCTCCGCAGCGCGCTGAATCGCACGGCGAATTCCTTCTCCTTCCACCGTGCCCGCTTCATCGCGCAATCCGGCGGTATCGGCCAGCACCACCAGATGGCCGCCAAGGTCCAGACGAGCCTCCACAACATCGCGCGTCGTGCCCGGTTCCGGGGAAACAATCGCGCGGTCGCTGCCGGCCATCGCATTGAGAAGCGTGGATTTGCCCGCATTCGGAGCGCCGACGATGGCGACCTGAAGTCCGGACCGCATGATGCGGCCGCGCCGTTCACCGTCCATGTGGCGGGACAAGGCGTCGCTCATCGTCCGCATGTCCGCCCAAACCCGATCGGACACCGAACCGGGCACATCGTCCTCATCGGAAAAATCGATCTCCGCCTCGATCATCGACCGCGCATGGAGCAAGCGGGCTCGCCAATCCTCGTAAAGGGACGATTGCGCCCCACCGGCCAGTTCGACCGCAAAACGACGCTGTGCTTCCGTCTCCGCCGAAATCAGATCGCCAAGCGCCTCGGCTTCCACCAAATCGAGCTTGCCGTTGGAAAACGCCCGGCGGGCAAATTCACCCGCTTCGGCAAGACGAACCCCGGACATTTCCGTGGCCAGGTCCAAAACACGATCGACCACTGCGCGGCTGCCGTGCAGGTGAAATTCGACGCAATCCTCTCCGGTAAAGCTCGCCGGGCCTGGCAACCACAGCACATACCCGCGATCGATCTCCAATGCCTCATCGTCGCGAAAGACACGCAACGCCGCCGTTCGCGGCGCGGGAAGGGCGCCGCAAAAGCGCTCCGCAAGCGCTCCCGACGCGGTGCCGGATGCCCGAACAATGGCAATGCCCGACGGCAAGGCTCCGCTGGACAACGCGATGATCGTATCCGTCATGCAGGCTCCATGCGGCGCCAGACATCAATGTTCATTCGATTCGTTTCACATCAGAATCGAATCGGTCTCCGCGATCTGCACCAACGACGTTTCGAGACCGAATCGATCAGGCGTTCATGGAATCGAAGAATTCGCCATTGTTCTTGGTCTGGCGCAGCTTGTCGATCAGGAACTCGATGGCATCCGTCGTTCCCATCGGCGACAGAATGCGCCGAAGCACGAAGATCTTCTGAAGGTCCGAACGCGGCACCAGAAGGTCTTCCTTGCGGGTACCCGATTTGAGGATATCCATGGAGGGGAAGATGCGTTTGTCGGCGACCTTCCGGTCGAGCACGATTTCCGAATTGCCCGTTCCCTTGAACTCTTCGAAGATCACCTCGTCCATGCGGCTGCCCGTATCGATCAGAGCGGTGGCGATAATCGTCAGCGACCCGCCTTCCTCGATATTGCGCGCCGCGCCGAAAAAGCGCTTGGGACGCTGCAATGCATTGGCATCGACACCGCCGGTCAAAACCTTGCCGCTGGACGGGACCACAGTGTTGTACGCGCGGCCGAGCCGCGTGATCGAATCGAGCAGGATGACGACATCGCGTCCATGCTCGACAAGGCGCTTTGCCTTTTCGATCACCATCTCGGCCACCTGCACATGGCGGGTTGCCGGCTCATCGAACGTCGACGACACGACCTCGCCCTTCACCGAACGCTGCATGTCCGTGACTTCCTCGGGCCGCTCGTCGATCAGCAGCACGATCAGATAGCATTCGGGGTGATTGGCGGTGATCGAATGGGCGATGTTCTGCAAAAGCACCGTTTTACCGGTGCGAGGCGGCGCGACGATCAGACCGCGCTGGCCCTTGCCGAGCGGCGCGACGAGATCGATCACGCGCGCCGACAAATCCTTCGTCTCGGCGTTTTCGACCTCCATGTTGATGCGGCTGTCGGGATAAAGCGGCGTCAGATTGTCGAAGTGGCTCTTGTGACGGATCTTCTCGGGGTCTTCGAAATTGATCGTGTTGACCTTGAGCAACGCAAAATAGCGTTCCCCGTCCTTGGGCGCACGGATCGTGCCCTGGACCGTATCGCCGGTCTTCAGCGAAAAACGCCGGATCTGCGATGGCGAGATATAGATGTCGTCAGGTCCAGGCAGATAATTCGCACTTGCCGACCGCAAAAAGCCGAACCCGTCCTGAAGCACCTCGACCACGCCCTCGCCGATGATCTCGATATCATCGGCGGCCAGACGCTTGAGAATGGCAAACATCAGCTCCTGCTTGCGCAGGACACTGGCATTTTCGACCTCAAGGCTTTCGGCGAACTCCACAAGTTCGGGCGCAGACTTCTGCTGCAAATCGTGTAGCTTCATTTGTTCCATGGTTGAACCAATGCGGACGTAAAGGGAAAAGCCCGGCGCGGAGGGAAGGAAGAAGGGCACCGAGAACTGGCCGCCACATACGCCGTCATCATGGCGATTTCAAGCCGCACGGGCAAGACAATTCGCCGTGCCACCCGACAAGCGCGGCGTTCCTAGAACGGTTTGACGATTACCAGGATCACCGCCGCGATCATCGCGATCGTCGGCACTTCGTTGACGATCCGCCAATGACGCGCCGGCTTGTCGTTGCGTCCTTCGGCGAACAGACGGGCCGATTTCGCCAGATAGCCATGCGCCCAACTCATGATCAGCACGGCGACGAGTTTACCGATAAACCAGATTTCCAGGAAAAATGCGCCGGTCCATGCCAGCCAGAGACCGACGGCCCAGGAAACGATCATCGCGGGAAGCATGATCACCTTCAGGAGCCGCCGCTCCATGACGACGAATGTGTCGGCCTGGACCGAACCCGGTTCTGCATCGCAATGATAAACGAACAGCCGCGGCAGGTACAGCATGCCCGCCATCCACGAAATCACCGCGACGACATGGATGGCTTTTGCCCAGTCATAGCGCGCCGGCGGCGACAAAACGAATATGAAAGCCGCCAGGCCAAGAAAAACCGCCAGCGCCATCAACGCACGCATGGCCGCCTTGCGCCCCTTGGTCTCCGATATCTCCCCGCCCGGCCCCTTCATGGCCGCTAGGCCTTGCCGCGTACGCAGTCGACCAGATAGGCCATATCGTCCGGATCGGCCTGCGGCGTGATCCCGTGTCCGAGATTGAAGACGAACGGCCCGCCCGCCAGCGCGTCGAGAATGCGATCGACCCCTTCCTTGATCGCCGCCCTGCCGGCCACGACCCGCAAAGGGTCCAGATTGCCCTGAACCGGCCCTTCTTTCTGCAATTGGGCCGCGACATCGAGTGGAACCGTCCAGTCGAGCGCGATCATGTCCGCACCCGTCTTTTCGCGGTAGTCGCGATATTGCCAGCCGGCGCCTTTCGGAAAGGCGATCACCGGCGTTCCGGGCCGTTCGCGCTTCACCGTTTCAATGATCTTGCGAACCGGCGCCACCGAACACCGCTCGAATGCCACACGATCGAGAACACCCGCCCAACTGTCGAAAATCTTGACGGCGTCGGCCCCCGCATCGATCTGCGCGATCAGATAACGCGCCGACGCCTCGGCGAGTATGTCGAGCAACTTCTCCAGCCGCGCCGGCTCGCGATAGAGCATCAGACGCGACGGGGCCTGATCGGGTGTTCCGTGCCCGGCGATCATGTAGGTCGCCACCGTCCAGGGGGCGCCACAAAAACCCAAAAGCGCCGTTTCATCCGGCAACGCCACGCGCAATCGCCGCACCGTTTCGAAAACAGGCGCCAGATGATCAAGCACACGGCTTGAATCGAGCTTCTCGATTTCGTCGCCTTCAAGCGGACGCATTCGGGGTCCCTCGCCCTGCACGAAGGACACATCACGGTCGAGTGCGTCGGGGATCACCAGAATATCCGAAAAAAGAATCGCCGCATCAAAGCCGTAACGGCGGATTGGCTGCAACGTCGCTTCAACGGCCAGATCGGGCGTGTAGCAGAAATCGAGGAAGTTCTTCGCCCTCGCGCGTGTCTCGCGATATTCGGGCAGATAACGCCCCGCCTGCCGCATCACCCAGATCGGCGGTGGCGTAACCGTCGCGCCCTGCATGACTTCCAGTATCGTCCGCTGGCCCATGCAACGCACTCCTTTCACAGCCATTTTAAGAATGAGATGTCTAACGAAGGTTTTTTGATTTTTCTATGAGTCTGTGAGTTGCGGGTATGAATCTTTTGTCCGCGGTTTTCCACCTCTCATACACAGCGTTCCTGCGTCGGACGGCTGGATAGTGAAAACCAGAATCGACGAGGACAAACCTAAAAATGATTATTTATCAGATATTTAATCGTTACCAACGGGATCATTTCATGTGAATGGCCAGTGGACGGCGCTTTGTTTCTCCGTTCACTGCCGGCGTGCAGGAGCAAAAGTCCGGTCCATCCATGTTGACCGATCACGCGCATTTGCCCGCGCCTGTGAACCAAGCGGCAGACAATCGCGTTTGCCCACCGGAATTGTCCCCAACCCACGGCAGGCGTCCGTCCGGGGCTTTGCGCTTGTCCGGCGCCCTCCGGCAGGTTAGGCCACCCACTGACGCCCAGCCTTCAGAGCCGACCATGACCTTCGTTCTTGCATCGTCCAGCCCCTTCCGAGCCGAACTTCTGACCAAGGCCGGCCTCATCTTTTCGACCGATGCGGCCGATATTGAGGAGCGGGCGGTGGAAGCGCCGCTCGTTGAAAGCGGTCTCGATGCCGCCGACGTGGCGGCCGTGCTTGCCGAGGCCAAGGCGCTCGATGTCAGCGCACGCCATCCCGGCGCGCTGGTCCTGGGGGCGGACCAGACGATGGCGCTCGACGGCGAACTGCTGCACAAGCCGGCCAACATGGAAGAAGCGCGGTTCCGTCTTCTGGCCATGTCCGGCAAGGCGCACGCGCTGCACAGCGCACTGGCGCTTGTCCGCGACGGAGAGACGCTATGGCGTCATGTATCGACGGCACACATGCATGTGCGGACCCTGTCGCCGGCATTCATAGGCCGATATCTCGCCGAAGTCGGCGAGGCGGCGTTGCAGAGCGTCGGCGCCTATCAGATCGAAGGCGCGGGCATCAGGCTTTTTGACCGCGTCGAGGGCGATTACTTCACCATCATCGGCATGCCCATGCTGCCGCTTCTGGCCGAACTGCGGCGCCTGGACATGATCGATGGCTGATCCGGCGCGCGCCTTCGTCGCCGGGCACCCGATCGGCCATTCGCGATCGCCTTTGATCCATCGCTTCTGGCTCGACCGGCTTGGCCTGGCCGGATCGTACGAACCGCTCGATATCGCCCCTGACGATTTCCCGTTCTTCCTGGCCGGTCTGTCGGCGTCCGATTGGGCCGGCGGCAATGTCACCATTCCGCACAAGCAGACCGCGTTTGCCGCTATCGACAAGCGTGATGCGGCGGCCGAAGCGATCGGGGCCGTCAATACCATCTGGAAAGAGCGCGGCGAGCTCGCCGCCGGCAACACCGATGCCTATGGCTTTGCGGCCAATCTCGACGATTGGACACCGCAATGGCGCGCCGGCCAACGTGCATTGGTGATCGGCGCGGGCGGCGCAAGCCGCGCAATCCTCCATGCGCTGCTCCAAGCCGGCTATCGCCATATCGATCTGGCCAACCGCACCCGCGACCGGGCCGCTGAACTCGCCGACTTGTTTGGCGCGTCCATTCATGCCGCCCCGCTCGCCGCAATCGACGAACGGGCGGCCGATGCCGATCTGGTGGTCAACACGACGTCGCTGGGCATGTCCGGCGAACCGCCTCTGATGCTTGATCTCGACAAGGTCGGTGACCAGGCGATCGTGACCGACATCGTCTATTCGCCGCTGGTCACGCCCATGCTTGCCGCCGCGCGCGACCGCGGCCTGATCGTTGCCGACGGGCTGGGCATGCTGCTGCATCAGGCAGTCCCGGGATTCGAACGGTGGTTTGGCGTCCGGCCACTGGTGACACCGGACCTGCGCGCCCATATCGTCGCCGACCTTGAGGCGCACTGTGCGGGGGACAACGCGTCATGATCCGTCTGGGGCTGACCGGTTCGATCGGTATGGGCAAGTCGACGACCGCCGCCATGTTCACCGAGGCAGGAATTCCCGTGCACGATTCCGACGCCGCCGTTCACGAGCTTTACCGCGGCGATGCCGCGCCGCTCATCGAGACGGCCTTTCCGGGCACGGTGATGGACGGCATTGTCGACCGCAAACAGCTGGGCGAGCGGGTTCTGGGCGACGCTGAGGCGCTGGGACGGCTCGAGGCGATCGTCCATCCGCTGGTCGCTGCGCACGAAGCCGCGTTCGTCGACCGTGCGCGTGCCGATGGAGCTGGCCTGGTGGTCCTCGACATCCCGCTTCTGTTCGAGGTGGGCGCACAGGATCGGGTCGACAAGGTGCTTGTGGTTACTGCGCCGGCCGATGTGCAGCGCGAGCGCGTCCTCGCCCGGCCCGGCATGACCGAAGATCGTTTCGCGGCGATCCTCGCCCGCCAGGTTCCGGATCGTGAAAAGCGTGCCAAGGCCGATTTCATCATCGACACGTCGTTGGGCATGGACTGCGCGCGCGCCAAGGTGCGTGATCTGATCACCGTGCTGCAGCCGCCGCCCCGAAACCTTGCCGAAGCGGCCGGCTGAACCGGCCGATTGCCTTTGGATGGTTCCGCGCACGTCTTGCCCGAGGCAGGGCGCACCGCCATCCTGTTATGGCGATTTGCAGACTGGGCGAACAATGCGTGAAATTATCTTCGACACCGAAACGACCGGCCTCGACAACAAGGCTGACCGCATCATCGAGATTGGCGCCGTCGAACTCGACAACCGGTTCATCACCGGACGATCGTTTCACGTCTTCATCAATCCGGACGGGCGTGAGGTGCATCCCGAGGCGCTGGCTGTACACGGCATTTCCAACGAGATGCTGATCGACAAGCCGCGCTTTGCCGAAATCGTCGACGATTGGTTCGCCTTTGTCGGCGATGCCAGGCTGATCGCTCACAATGCCGGCTTCGATGCCGGCTTCTTCAATGAGGAGTTCGCCCGGATCGGCTTTCCGGCGCTCGATCCGGCCCGGATCGTCGATTCGCTCGCCCTTGCCCGCCGGCGCCATCCGATGGGCCCGAACTCGCTCGATGCCCTGTGCAAGCGCTACGGGATCGACAATTCGCGGCGCGAGAAGCACGGCGCGCTCCTCGACAGCGAGCTTCTGGCCGAAGTCTATATCGAGCTGGTCGGCGGCAAGCAGGCGGCGCTCGGCTTGTCGGTGGTCGCCGACACTGCCGCCGACAAAGCCACGGGATCCGAAGGTCCGGACAAGGTTGCGGTGGTCGGTACGCGCGCCGACCCCTTGCCGCCGCGCCTGACGGCGGCCGAAGCCGCCGCGCATGAAGAGATGATCGGACTGCTGGGCGAGGCCCCGCTCTGGCGCCGCCCCGCCTGAAACGTCGCGGCCGGGCCCTTTTCTCGGTCAGTTCGTCGTTTCGACCTTCTGGCGCGCCTGTTCTTCGGCCATGCGCTGCTGGAACATCCGCGCAAAATCGACCGGATCGATCATCAGCGGCGGGAAACCGCCATTGCGTGTGCATTCGGCCACGATCTGCCGCGCAAACGGGAACAGCATGCGCGGGCATTCGATGAAGACCACCGGCAGCGTGTGCTCCTTGGGAAAGCCGTCGACGCGGAACACGCCGCCATAGATCAGTTCGACATTGAACAGGACCTTGTCGTCATCCTTGGCCGTCGCGTTCAGCGTCAGCACCACGTCATAGTCGGTTTCCGACATCGGATTGGCGTTGACGTTGATGTTGATGTTGATCGCCGGCGCCTTGTCGCGCTGGCGCAGCGTCATCGGCGCGCCGGGGCTCTCGAACGACAGATCCTTGACGTACTGCGTCAGGATGCTGAGCTGCGGCGATTTGCCGTTGCCCGTCGTTGCTCCTGCGGCTGCTGCCGTTTCGCCATCGTTCGTCTTGTCGGTTTCATCCGCCATCTTGGGTGCCTTCTTGGAATTGCTGGAGTGGCGCGAACGCGCCGGATCGGGAGATTTCGCGGTCGCCTAGCATGGTGCCCCCTGTGTGACAAGCGGGCCATAGTAACCGGCCTTTCTGTCAGCTACGAGCGTGGCGGGCCGTCGCCCCAAGGTGTGTCGGGGTCGGGTTCGCGCGCAAAATCGTCCTCGTCGAGATCGATCGTGCGGCCGTCCCGCGGGGTCGTTTCCGACGCGCCATCGTGAAATTTGGCACCGTCCGGCCCGACGACGCGAACGCGGCTTCGGACAAAGCCCCAGACCGCATCGCGCACCGGCGGCACGAACAGCAGAAAGCCTGCCGCGTCGGTCACAAAACCGGGTGTCAGCAGCAGAATTCCCGCAACCAGCAGCATCACGCCATGCACCAGCTCGCGCGCTGGCACCCGCCCGGCATTCATTTCGGCCTGGATACGGTTGATCAGGCCGAACCCCTGCACGCGCAGCAGGATCGAGCCGATGACCGCCGTGACGACCACCAGCGCCAGCGTCGGGAAGACACCGATCTGTCCGCCGATCACCACGAAAGCGGCAATTTCGAGCAGTGGGATGACCAGCAGGGCGAAGGGGATCAGCGAAAATGGCATGGTGGCGGTCCGGACAGGTTGAACACGGTGTTTGAACCCATGTAAGCGTGACCGGTCCCGGTTTGAATGATGGCGGTGCACGTTCTATATCAGCTATGCGCGCCGCGTGCGACAACCAGACCGAAAACGGAAACCCAATGGACTCGTCGAATTTTGTCACCCTGATCTTTGTCGTCGCGGCTGTCTTCGTCTTCATACAGCTTCGCAATGTCCTAGGGCGCCGCACCGGCCAGGAGCGCCCGCCCTTCGATCCCTATTCCCGTCAGGGTGAGGACGTGGCGCGCGATGACGCCGGCGAAGCGGACAATGTGATCACTTTGCCGGGGCGTGGCGAGAACCCCGAACCCTATGCCGATATCGACAAGATGGCCAAACCGGGTACCGAGGTTAACAAGGGTCTGCGTGCCATCCGCGATGCGGCGCCCGAATTCCACCCCGGCGAGTTCCTGGCCGGCGCCAAGATGGCCTACGAGATGATCGTCATGGCGTTCGCCGATGGGGACCGCAAGACGCTGCGCAACCTGTTGTCGGCCGATGTCTATGACGGATTTGCCGCAGCGCTCGACGAACGCGAGGCGCGGGGCGAAACGGTGCAGACCAACTTTGTCGGCATCGACACCATCGATATTGTCGGCGCCCAGATGCGCGATTCAGAAGCCCACATCACCGTGTCCGTCGTCAGTCAGCTCGTCTCGGCGACGCGCGGCAAGGATGGCGAGATCATCGAAGGCGATCCCGAGGCGGTCGCCGAGGTCAAGGATGTGTGGACCTTCATGCGCGATGTGCGCAGCGAGGCGCCCGACTGGAAACTCGAAGCGACCGAAGCCGACGAGTAAGCTGCGGTACTGGCGGCCACCATGTGGTCCCTGAACCGCATCGCATTCGCCGACATGGCTGGCTGGGCGCAGGACGATCATGCCGCCGCGCTGGCAACACTGGCGCGCCACTGCCAAAAACCGGTGGGCGAAACCTATCGAACCGGACGGCTCGGCATTCCGCCCGAACCTCTGATGACACTGGCCGCAGAGGCGGCGGAGCTCGGCGCCCGAGACGACCCGCGCGGATTCTTCGAGAACAGGTTTGCCCCGGTGCGCCTTGATAACGGAACCGGCGAGCAGGGCCTTGTAACCGGCTTCTACGAACCCGAGCTTTCGGCCTCCCATCGTCGAACACCATCCTTTGCCGTGCCCTTTCTCCGGCGCGCGCCCGATCTGGTGCCCGTCGATGACAGCAATCGTCCGCCAGACTTCGACCCGCAAATGCGCTTTGGCCGCCGTGGCGATGATGGGGTCCTGACGGAATTTCATGACCGGGCGGCGATCGAAGCCGGTGCGTTGGACGGACAGGGCCTCGAGATCGCCTTTGTCGCGGACCCGGTCGATGCCTTCTTCGTCCACATACAGGGCGCAGCGCGCCTGACATTTTCGGACGGCAGCACCACGCGCATCACCTATGACGGCAAGACCGGTCACCAATTCACGGCCATCGGCAAGCTTCTGGTCGATCGTGGCGAGATACCGGCCGCCTCCGTCTCCATGCAGTCGATCCGGGCCTGGCTTGCCGCTCATCCCGATCAGGCATCGGGTCTGATGGCCGAAAACCGGTCCTACATCTTCTTTCGCGAAACGCCGGCAGGCGAGCCCGGCGACGGCCCGGTCGCGGCTGCAAAGGTACCGCTCACCGCCGGCCGCTCGCTCGCCGTCGATCGGCTTCTGCATACGTTCGGCACGCCGGTCTTCGTCGATGCCGACAGGGTAGCAGGCGCTTCGTTCCGGCGGCTGATGATCGCCCAGGAAACCGGTTCCGCGATCGTTGGCGCCGCGCGCGGCGACATCTTCTTCGGAACCGGCTCGGCCGCGGGCGAGGCGGCCGGTGGCGTCAAGTCGCCATGCACCTTCACGATTCTTGTCCCCCGTGACATGGTGGACCGGTTGCCGGAGGAATGGGCGCCGTGACCGAGCACCGCAAATCCCGAAAACCGACCCATCCGCTCAGCCTTGAAGACCGCATCCTGTGGAACAAGGTCGCGCGGACGGTCAATCCGCTCGATCGCGTGCGTCACCGTCAGGCGCAGCAGGATGTCTGGGACGATTGGGTGGCCGGTGCGTTCGGCGAGGATGCACCGACGCAATCGACGCCTGCCAGGCGGGGCGCCGCAGGCGAACCGAATCGGTCGGCAGCGCCGCCGGCACCTGTTCGCCAGGCGCAACGGGCAGCGCGGGCGCCCGGACCTGTTCCCATCGAACAGCCGGTCTACCGAAAACTCTCGCGTGGCCGGACACCGATCGACGCCAGCATCGATCTCCACAACATGAACCAGAACGAAGCGATGAGCCAGCTGCACCGCTTTCTGACGCAGGCGCGGGCGCGCGATTGCCGTCACGTCCTGGTCATCACCGGCAAAGGACGCTCACCGCACAGCGACGGCGTTCTGCGCCGGATGGTGCCGTTCTGGCTGTCGCGCGAACCGTTCGCCGGCCTGGTCAGCGGCATTCGGTCCGCCGCACGCGGCCATGGCGGCGACGGCGCATTCTATGTCCGTCTGCGCAAGACCGCCGAACCGCACGGGCACCGGCACCGATGACCCCGTTCGGCGAACGGCTGCGGCAATTGCGCGCCGAGCGCGGCATGACGCAGAGGCAGATGGCGCAGGCGATCGGCGTCTCGCCCGCCTATCTGTCGGCGCTCGAGCATGGCAAACGCGGCGTGCCGCGCTGGATCCTGGTTCAGGAGATCATTGCCTGCCTGAACATCATCTGGGACGACGCCGACGAGTTGCAGCGGCTGGCGCTTCAGTCGGCGCCGCGCGTGACGATCGATACGACAGAGCTGTCTCCGCGCGCGACCGAACTGGCCAACCTTTTGGCATCGGGCATCGACGTGCTGTCGGACGACGCGATCGAAGATCTGCGTCTGAGACTCGATGCGGCGATCCGGCAATCGGAACGGTGAAGCCAAGGCCCCGCCTTTCCCGAGAGGGGAGGCACGCGAAACCAAGCTCGCGATGGTCGAGCGGGTAGGGACAACAATGTGGCGCCACGGTGAGCCGTTGCCCCCCATCCGGCGCTGCCCCGTTTGAAACGCGGCAGCCGCCGACCTTCGCTCAAGGGCGGGGTTGGATAAGAAGCGTTCTACAGAATGAAGCGCGACAGGTCCGTGTTGCGGGCCAGTTCGCCGACATTGGTCTTCACATAATCGGCGTCGATCACCATCGTCGTGCCCGCCTTGTCGGGCGCTTCGAACGAGATCTCGTCGAGCACCCGTTCCATCACCGTCTGCAGCCGCCGCGCGCCGATATTCTCGACGGAGGCGTTGAGATCGACGGCGATGTCGGCCAGTGCATCGATCGCGTCGTCGGTGAATTCGAGCGTCACCTCCTCGGTCGCCATCAGCGCGATATACTGCTTGATCAGGCTGGCCTCGGTCTCGGTCAGGATGCGGCGGAAATCGTCCCGCTCCAATGCGCGCAGTTCGACGCGGATCGGCAGCCGGCCCTGAAGTTCGGGCAGAAGGTCCGACGGTTTGGAGACGTGGAAGGCGCCCGAGGCGATGAACAGCACATGGTCGGTCTTCACCGGCCCGTATTTGGTCGCCACGGTCGTGCCCTCGACCAGCGGCAGCAGGTCGCGCTGCACGCCTTCGCGGCTGACGCCGCCCGACATGCGACCGTCGCCGGCAGCGATCTTGTCGATCTCGTCCAGAAAGACGATGCCGTCATTTTCGACCGACCGCAGCGCCTCGGACACGACCTGGTCCTCGTCCAGAAGCTTGTCGGATTCGTCGGCCACCAGAAGGTCGTGGCTCTCGCGCACGCTCGTCTTGATCTGTTTGGTACGCTGGCCGAACGCCTTGCCCATGATCTCGCCGAGATTGATCATGCTGACATTGCCGCCGGGCATGCCGGGAATGTCGAAGCCGGGCATCCCGCCCTGGCCGTGGTCGGCCACCTCGATCTCGATTTCCTTGTCGTCCAACTGGCCTTCGCGCAGCTTCTTGCGAAACGAATCCCGGGTTGCCGGGCTGGCATTCTTGCCGACCAGTGCCTCGAGCACACGCTCCTCGGCATTGATGCGCGCCTTGGCCTTGACCGCTTCGCGCTTTTTTTCCCGGACAAGCCCGATACCCACCTCGACCAGGTCGCGGACGATCTGCTCGACATCGCGGCCGACATAGCCGACCTCGGTAAACTTGGTCGCTTCCACCTTGATGAAGGGGGCGCCCGCAAGCCGCGCCAGGCGACGCGAGATCTCCGTCTTGCCAACGCCGGTCGGCCCGATCATCAAAATGTTCTTGGGCATCACCTCGTCGCGCAGATCGTCGGCAAGCTGCTGGCGGCGCCAGCGATTGCGCAGCGCGATGGCAACGGCGCGCTTGGCGTCCTTCTGGCCGATAATATGGCGGTCGAGTTCCGAGACGGTCTCCCGGGGTGAGAAATTGGTCATGTGGTATGCACTCTGATGGGGGGAAGTTTGTCGAGCAGCGATGTGGGGAGGGTCGGGCGTATGATCAAGCCGCGGATACGCTGCCAGCCCGCGCCGAACGCCATGATCAGTGCGCCGACGACCAGCAGGATCAGCGCGAACGGCGGAATTCCCGTTTGGTTGGCTGCCGAGTTGACCAGATAATAGATGCCGAGCGACCCGAAATAGGCCAGCGTCGGGATGAGCAGCGAACGCCGGTCGATGGCAAGCGCCACATAGACGAAGACGGTGATCAGAACGGCCAGCATCACCATGGCGCTCGTGCCGGGCTCGATCTCGCCGAACACCACATCCTGGCCCGTCGACATGATGAACAGCGGATGGACCAGCAGCGGCGCCGAGATCACGTGCAGCCAGAAGGCGCAGTCCGACCAGACCGTTACCCGCTCGCGGTCGCGCAGGTCGAACATCACGCCGACGGCGAAGATCGCAAGGCCCGAGATCAGCGGCATGTAGAGCGCGTTGCGCAACAGGTCCGGCAGATCGTCGAGCGCCGGCAGATAAAGCCGGCCTTCGGTCACGCCGTCATAAAGGAACAGCGTGACATAGAAGAAGGACAGCGCCGTCAGGCAGAGCGCGATCGCGCCGGCCATGACCGGCACGCGGAAACGCCAGAAATAGAGCACCGCCGCGGTCGCAACACCACCCAGCAGAACCGTGCCTGCAATGCCCAGCTGCGGGCGCATGGCGGCAAGCTGCAGCGGGTTTTCCGGCATCGCGATGCCATAGCCCGTGACCACCCAGTCGGTGAGGATCGCCTGCACGGCAAACAGGAAGCCCAACCCGATCACGGTGGAAGCCAGGCGCATGCGGCGCTGTCGTGTGACGAACTCGGCGACGGCCCACAGGAAAACGGCCATGATGCCGAACATGACCGTCGTCCGATCACCCAGAAACGTGATCAGCGCGGCAAAGAGCCCGGCGCTCAGCATGACGACGCCGATCGTCACGAACACATCGTTGCCGCCACCGATCAGGCGCATCTGTTCGTCAAAGCCGGCCGCTGGCGTGTCTTTGGCTTCTTCGGATGCGACAGAGCCCGTATCAGCGAACCTGATGAGACCGTCGCGCTGTTCGGCCCCAATGAGGCCGCGGCGCACCGCTTCGTCGAGTTGCTCGCGCGTGATCATGTCATGCCGCCTCTTCGCCGGACATCGCCGCATTCGGGTCAAAACGCATGAGATGGACGCTGTCGAACCGGCCCTTCAGGGCGTCGATCGTGCGAAATCCGGCCTTGTGGTACGCCCGCACGGCGCGCGCATTGGCGGGATCGGGATCGATGATGATCTCCCGAAACCCCTCGTCCCATAGTGTCCTGACGAAGGCTGCCAGGGCCGCCGAACCAAGACCCTTGCCGAGCCCCGCCGCATCGCCGATCGACAGGTCAACGCCGATGCTACCGGCCGGCAACTCGGCAATCCAGGGCTCGTCGGTCAGCCAGGGTTCGCGCCGATGATCATCGACGAACCAATACTGGATATAGCCCATCGGCACATCGCCGACGAGAAACAGGTACGGACGGGTCGTGTCGCGACCCTCGATCATGTCGCGGACATAGCCCAGTTCGGTCTCCGCATCGCCCCACCATTCCTGCCAATGGGGCTGGACCATCCACGACCGCAGCATGGGCAAGTCGCCGTCGGTCACCGGCCGGAAGGTGATCTCGTCGGCGTCAGCCTTCATCAAGCGTTTCCATGACCAGATTGTCATTGGTGTAGACGCAGATCTCGGCGGCGATGGCCATCGCCTTGCGGGCGATCGTTTCCGCGTCATGATCGCCGTCGGCCAGCGCGCGGGCGGCTGCAAGCGCATAATTGCCGCCCGATCCGATCGCCATGACGCCATGCTCGGGTTCCAGCACGTCGCCATTGCCCGTCACGCACAGCGACACATCCTTGTCGGCGACCAGCATAAGCGCTTCCAGATTGCGCAGATATTTGTCCGTGCGCCAGTCCTTGGCCAGTTCCACGCAGGCGCGCATCAACTGTCCGGGATACTGCTCGAGCTTCTTTTCGAGCCGTTCCAGAAGGGTGAAGGCGTCCGCCGTCGCGCCGGCAAATCCGGCAATCACCTGTCCGTCCTTGCCGATCCTGCGCACCTTGCGGGCATTGCCCTTCATCACGGTCGCCTGGCCCATCGTCACCTGGCCGTCGCCGGCAATGACGACCTTGCCGCCCTTGCGCACGGTGACGATGGTCGTGGCGTGCATGGAAGGCAGTCCGTTTCGTTCGCTCATCTCTTCGTCCTTCTTGAACCGTTGCGCCCTATGTAGGTGGCGCAAAGGCCCATGCAATCCGGGCGTTCGCCCGACTGGCGTTTGCGCCCGTCGCTTGGTAAGAGGCGCGCGATCAACCCGGAGTGCAAGACGATGAGCGCCCGCACGGCCACTGTCAGCCGCAAGACCAACGAAACCGACATCAGTGTGACCGTCGATCTGGACGGCACCGGCAAACGGTCGATTACGACCGGAATCGGGTTTTTCGACCACATGCTCGACCAGCTGGCGCGCCATTCGCTGATCGACATGACGATTGCGGCGAACGGCGACACGCATATCGACGATCACCACACGGTCGAGGATGTCGGCATCGCGCTCGGTCAGGCGATCAGCAAGGCGCTTGGCGACCGGCGCGGTGTGACCCGCTATGCCAGCCTCGACCTTGCCATGGACGAGGCACTGACGCGCGCCGCGCTCGATGTTTCCGGCCGGCCCTTCCTGGTCTGGAAGGTGGACTTCACCGCGCCGAAGATCGGCACGTTCGACACCGAGCTGGTCCGGGAGTTCTTCCAGGCGCTGAGCCAGCATGCCGGCATCACGCTGCATGTTGAGAACTTTTATGCCGCCAACAGCCACCACATCGCCGAAACCTGCTTCAAGGCGGTGGCGCGGGTGTTGCGCACAGCCATCGAGATCGATCCGCGGCAGGCCGGCGCCGTTCCGTCCACCAAGGGTTCGTTGAGCGGGTAAGGCCATGGCGCGCTATGTGATCCTGCGGCACGAGGACCGGACACCGCCGCGTGGCCGGGCGCCCCTTCTGGTGATCCGGGACGGCTGGTCGTGGCTCGGCTTCGTCGTGCCGCTGCTTTGGCTGTTGTGGCACAGGCTTTGGTTCGCCGCCTTCGGCGTCTTTGCAGCCTCGCTGGCCATCGCGCTGTTGGCGCAGAACCCGCAATGGGCATCGCTCGCCCTGCCGTTCAACCTGCTGGTCGGGCTTTTTGTGGGTCTGGAAGGACAGGGCTGGAGGATCGGCGCGGCGCGCCCGCGCGGCTACCGGCTTGTCGATGTCGTCGAAGCAGACACGCAAGAGGCGGCGGAATTGCGGTTTGCGGACATGGCGGGCGATGAATCTTTCGAAGCACCACTCGCCGCCGCTATGGTGCCCGGTCGGGGGCTGGCCGCAGCCGAGGCGCCCGATTTTCTCTTTGCCGCGCCCGGCGGGGTGAACCGCTGATGCGTGTTGCGATCATCGATTACGGCTCGGGCAACCTGCGGTCTGCCCACAAGGCGTTCGAACGCGCAGCGCGCGAACGCGGAATCGACGCCGAGATACAGGTTACCGCCGATGCCGATCGCGTTGCGTATGCCGACCGAATCGTCCTGCCGGGTGTCGGCGCCTATGCCGATTGCCGCGCCGGGCTCGATGCCGTACCCGGCATGCATGAGGCGATCGATGAGGCCGTCATCGCCAAGGGGCGCCCGTTTCTGGGCATCTGCGTCGGCATGCAGCTCATGTCGACGCGCGGGCTCGAAAAGACCGTCACGCCCGGTTTCGACTGGATCGAGGGCGACGTGACGCTGATGACACCGTCCGATCCGGCGCTGCGCATTCCGCAGATCGGCTGGAACACGCTGGATGTCAGACGTGAGCATCCGCTGTTTGCCGGCATTCCCACCGGGCCGGACGGGCTGCACGCCTATTTCGTCCATTCCTACCATCTGGCGGCCGCGCACGAGGCCGATATTGTCGCGACATGCGGCTATGGCGGACCGGTGACCGCTGCTGTCGCGCGCGACAACATGGCCGGAACCCAGTTCCACCCCGAAAAGAGCCAGACGCTCGGCCTGGCCCTGATCGGCAATTTCCTGGAGTGGACGCCGTGAAGCGATCAACGATCCTGTTCCCCGCCATTTATCTGAAAGTCGGCCCCGCGCGGCGCCCGCTGCGGTCAGCCCGCGAGGACGCGCGATCGGAAAAGAGCATTGGCCATGTCTAAGATCCTCTTCCCCGCGATCGATCTGAAAGATGGGCAATGCGTCCGGCTCAAGCTCGGCGACATGGACCAGGCGACTGTCTACAACGACGATCCCGCCGCGCAGGCCAAGGCCTTCGAGGATGAAGGTTTCAAATGGCTGCATGTGGTCGACCTGAACGGCGCGTTCGAGGGCGAAAGCGTCAATGGCGACGCGGTCGAAGCGATTCTTTCCGCGACGAAGAACCCCGTTCAGCTCGGTGGCGGCATTCGCACGCTGGCCGATATCGAGCGCTGGCTCGACAAGGGCCTCGCCCGGGTGATCCTGGGCACGGTCGCGGTGCGCGATCCGGACCTGGTTCGCGAGGCGTGCCGCGCTTTTCCCGGCAAGATCGCCGTCGGCATCGACGCGAAAGGCGGCAAGGTCGCCGTCGAGGGTTGGGCCGAAGCGTCCGAATTGGGCGCCATCGAACTGGCCAAACAATTTGAGGGGGCCGGCGTTGCCGCCATCGTCTTCACCGACATCGACCGCGACGGCGTTCTGACCGGCATCAACTGGGAGGCGACCATCGATCTGGCCGAAGCGGTCTCGATTCCCGTCATCGCCTCGGGCGGCATGGCGTCGCTTGCCGATGTCGTGCGGATGGTCATGCCCGACGCCGAACGGCTCGAAGGCGCGATTTCCGGCCGCGCGCTCTATGACGGGCGCATCGACGCGCAGATCGCGCTCGGCGTGCTCGAAGGCATCCTGCCGCCGGACGAGGGCCTGTTCACATGACCATGAAAGCCCGTGTCATTCCCTGCCTCGACGTCAAGGACGGCCGCGTCGTCAAGGGCGTCAATTTCGTCGATCTGATCGATGCGGGCGATCCGGTCGAGGCTGCCAAGGCCTATGACGCCGCCGGCGCCGATGAACTGTGCTTTCTCGACATCACCGCTTCGTCCGATGATCGCGAAACGATCTTCGATGTTGTCGCGCGAACCGCCGAACACTGCTTCATGCCTCTGACGGTCGGCGGCGGGGTCCGCACGATCGAGGACATCCGCAAGCTGCTTCTGGCCGGCGCCGACAAGGTTTCGATCAACACGGCGGCGGTCAAGAACCCGCAATTTGTTGCCGAGGCCGCCGACAAGTTCGGCAACCAGTGCATTGTCGTCGCCATCGATGCCAAGAAAGTGTCGGGCGAAGGCGAGCCCGACCGCTGGGAAATCTTCACCCATGGCGGCCGCGAGCCTACGGGCATCGACGCCGTGGCGTTTGCGCGGAAAGTGGTCGATCTTGGCGCCGGCGAGATATTGCTCACCTCGATGGACCGTGACGGAACCAAGGCCGGTTTCGATATCGCGTTGACGCGCGCGATCGCCGATGCGGTGCGCGTCCCTGTCATCGCCTCGGGCGGCGTGGGATCGCTCGATCATCTGGTCGAGGGCGTGCGCGACGGTCACGCCACGGGCGTTCTGGCCGCCTCGATCTTCCATTTCGGCACGCACACGATCGGAGAGGCCAAGACGCACATGGCAAACGCCGGGCTTGCGGTTCGCCTCGATCCTGCGGCATGAACGGCCATGTCTTTCACCCTTCACGACCTTGAAGCGATCATCGCGGCGCGCGCAAAAGCCGATCCCTCCGAGAGCTGGACGGCCAGGCTTGTTGCCGCCGGACCGGAGCGGGCTGCCAAGAAGCTTGGCGAAGAGGCGGTCGAAACGGTGATCGCCGCGCTGGGCGATGACCGGGACACGCTGATCGCAGAAAGCGCCGATCTTCTCTATCACTGGCTGGTCGTTTGCCGCACCCGCGGGATCGCGCTCGATGAGGTCCTCGCCGAGCTTGAAAGCCGTACCGCCGAAAGTGGACTTGCGGAAAAGGCCGCGCGCGACGCATAAAAGCGCTCCAAGCTGCCGACCGACGGGGATTGACCCATGGATCGCACCGCCGACAGCACCAACGAACGGGCCGGACATGCGCCGGACAGTCTCGATGCGGTTGCCGACGGCCTGTCCCTGGCGGACCAGTTGTCAGGCGGTGACCTGTCGCCCTACCGCCATTTCACCGCGATCAAATGGGCCGAGTTCCGCGCCGACACGCCGCTCACCTTGAGCGCCGACGAGGTCAAACGCCTGCGCTCGCTGAACGACCCGGTCGATCTCGAAGAGGTCCGCCGCATCTATCTGTCGATCTCGCGGCTTCTGTCAGCCCATGTCGAGGCGTCGCAGGAGTTGTTTCGGCAGCGCAAGCGGTTTCTGAACTTTCCCGAGGCGATCAAGACGCCCTACATCATCGGCATCGCCGGATCGGTGGCGGTCGGAAAGTCGACCACCGCTCGTGTTCTGACCGAGCTGCTGTCGCGCTGGCCGTCCAGCCCCAAGGTGGACCTGATCACGACCGACGGCTTCCTGCTGCCCAATGCGGTTCTGCGCGAACGCGGGCTGATGGAACGCAAGGGATTTCCCGAAAGCTACGATGTCGGCGCGATCCTGCGGTTTTTGTCGGCGATCAAGGCCGGCGAGCAGACGGTCAAGGCGCCGCTTTATTCGCACCTGACCTACGATGTGCGCGAAGGCGCCTACAAGACGATCGACCGGCCGGACATTTTGATCTTCGAAGGCATCAATGTGCTTCAGGTGCGCGACCTGCCCGAAGACGGCCGGACCATCCCCTTCGTGTCGGACTTCTTCGACTATTCGATCTACATCGATGCGGACGACGATCTGATCCACACCTGGTATGTGGACCGGTTCATGAAGCTGCGGCAAACCGCGTTTCAGGATCCGCAGTCCTTCTTTCACCGCTATTCGCAGCTGTCCGAAGATGCCGCGCGGGCCATCGCCGAGGGACTGTGGGCCAACATCAATTTGCGGAACCTGCGGGAGAACATCCTGCCGACCCGGCCGCGCGCCGATCTGATTCTGCGCAAGGGCTCGGACCATCTGGTCGAATCGGTGCTCCTGCGAAAACTTTAGCCGGCATATCAAGTCAATGAATTTGCCGGCTACGGAACTGTGACACGCCGCAATGTCAAATTGATCCGGGCGGCTTTCTCAAGAAGCATCGAAGTGCCCGGATAAATCCGGTCGACGCCGTGATAGGCAAGCCGGCTGGCGCCGCCGAGAACGACGATATCGCCGGAGACGAGGCGCAACGACATGGTCTTGCCGCCACGCCTGGTGCCGCCAATGCGGAACAGGCAGTCATCGCCCAGCGAGATGGACAGCACCGGCGCATCGAAATCCGCTTCGTCACGGTCCTGATGCAGGCCCATCTTCGTATCGGGCGCGTAGAAATTGATCAGACAGGCCTCCGGCGGGTGCGGATAGCCCGTGACTTCGGTCCAGAGTGCCAGAAGCTGTTGCGGCATCGCCGGCCAGGGCGCACCGGTGACTGGATGTGCCGGCTGGTAGCGATAGCCGCGTTCCTTGTCGGTAACCCAGCCGAGCGGCCCGCAATTGCTCATCCGCACGGACATCGGCTTGCCGGTCCGAGGCATGGCGGGCACGAACAGCGGCGCCTGCGCAACCACGGCGCGGATGTCGTCGACCAGCGCCGTCTGGGCTTTGGGGTCGAGGGCGCCGGGAATGTGGCGTACGCCATCGGGCAGTGTCGTCAACGCTGCGGCTCCAGCTCCAGCAACGAAATGGTGGGCGCGTCAATCATAGCGCAGATCCGTCGCCTTGCCGCCGAACACGCGGTAGGCATAGATCGAATAGATCGCGATCACCGGAATGACGACCATCGCGCCGACCAGAACGATCATCAGGCTTTCGGGCGCTGCCGCCGCTTCATAGATCGTTGTCCGGTCGGGTACGACATAGGGGTAGAAGGAATAGGCCAGCCCGAAAAAACCCAGCACCATGATCGCCGTCATGGCGATGAACGGCAGCAGCGAAAACCGGTCGTTGCGGTCGGGCAGATGGGCCAGTTGCCAGAACAGATAGCCGAACAGGATCGCCGTCATCAGCGGCAACGGCGCCAGCGCGACGATCTCAGGTACGGAAAACCATTTGGCAAAGATCCGGTCGCTGGCGAACGGCGTTGCCAGTGAAATCGCGGCCATTCCGCCCATCGCAAGGATCAGCGCGCGGCGCATCCAGGCGACGGCGCGCTTCTGCAGATCGCCATCGGTCTTGTAGATCAGCCATGCCGCGCCGATCGCCGCATAGGCTGCCGTCAGGCACAGCGCTACGACAAAGCCGAACAGCATGGTTGCGCGGTCACCGTCGAGGCCAAGTACATAGGCACCGAGCATGTAGCCCTGGCTGAGCGCGGTCACCAGCGAGCCGAGAAAGAAGACGCGGTTCCACAGCCACTTTTCCTCGTCGGTCGCCTTGGCGCGGAATTCGAACGCCACGCCGCGCGCGATCAGGCCGATCAGCATGATGGCGACGGGCAGGTAGAGTTCGGTCAGGATCACACCGTGCGCGACAGGGAACGCTACCAGCAGGATGCCGATCGCCAGGACCAGCCATGTCTCGTTGGCGTCCCAGAACGGGCCGATCGATGCGATCATACGGTCGCGGTCCTCGACGGGTGCCACGGCAAACAGGATGCCGACGCCCAGGTCGAAACCGTCGAGGATCACATAGACGAGGATGGCAATTCCCATCAGCCCGGCAAAGACCACCGGCAGGTAAGGGTACAAAAGCGTCACATCCATCGCCGTCACTCCGCCGGCTGGGGCATGGCGTCTTTGCCGCCCGGGATCGCGGTGCCCCCCGCGGGACCGGGCTCCGGCCGTTCATCGCCCTGTCTGGCTGCCTTGACGGCCAGCCGGATGATGACGAAGGCGTAGGCGCCGAGCAGCAGAACATAGACGGCGAGATAGGCCAGAAGCGTCGACAGCACCATGCCGCCAGCGACGGGGCCGAGCGCGTCCTTGGTGGTCATCACGCCGGTGACGAGCCATGGCTGCCGGCCGATCTCGGTGACATACCAGCCCGACAGGGTCGCGACCCAGCCGCTGACAGCCATCGGCACGAAACCGAGTGCCAGCCAGCGCGGCAGCGGATTGGCGGTGCCGCCGCGGCGCCACAGGAACCAGGTGCCTGTCCATGCCATGACCAGCATCACCAGACCCGTGCCGACCATGATACGGAAACCCCAGAAGACGGGCGCCACAGGCGGATGCTTGATGGTGCCGTCCTCCAGCACGAAATCGTTAAGCCCCGGCACCTCGCCATCCAGCGAATGGGTCAGGATCAGGCTGGCAAGGCCGGGGATCTTCACCTCGAAATTGTTCTCGCGGGCTTCTTCGTCCGGCAGCGCGAACAGGATCAGCGGCGCGCGGCTCTGCGTCTCCCAATGGCCTTCCATCGCGGCGATCTTGGCCGGCTGATGTTCCAGCGTATTCAGCCCGTGCATGTCACCGGCAAGAATCTGCGCAGGAATGAGAACCGCGCCGAGCACGATCCCGGTGTTCAGCGCCTTGCGCAATGCAGGGGTGCGGTCGCCGAGCAGGTAGCGCAGGGCGGAAATGCCGGCGATCAGGAACGCAACGGTCAGGCCCGACGCCAGCAGCATGTGGATGAGCCTGTAGGGCATGGACGGGTTGAAGATGATGGCAAACCAGTCGGTCGCATGCGCCACGCCGTCGCGCATTTCAAAGCCCGCGGGCGTTTGCATCCACGAGTTCAGGACGAGAATCCAGAACGCGCTCATCGTCGTGCCGAAGGCGACAAGGAACGTTGCCAGCGTGTGGATGCGGTTCGAAACGCGCCGGAAACCGAACAGCATGATGCCGACGAACACCGCCTCCAGGAAGAAGGCGGTCATGATCTCATAAGCCAGCAAGGGGCCGGCGATGTTGCCGACGGTTTCCATGAAGCCAGGCCAGTTTGTGCCGAACTGGAAGCTCATGGTGATGCCCGAGACGACGCCCATCGCAAAGGACAGGGCAAACACCTTCACCCAGAAGAAATAGGCATCCATCCACGCCGCGTCGCCCGAGCGATGGTAGCGCAGCTTGAAGTAGAACAGCACCCAGCCGAGCGCGATGGTGATCGTCGGAAACAGGATGTGAAACGAGATGTTGGCCGCGAACTGGATGCGCGACAGGATGAACGGGTCGAGAGCGGTGGAGTCCATGATTGAGCCTTTCGAGGCCGGATATGGATGCCGCACCGCACCATTGGGATAGGACACGCTGCCGCATGAAACAATCATGACGGACTTGCGGCTTTTGGACGGAAAAACCCATCCGTTGCAGTCACAACCGCGTATCGGGATCAGCTCAAATCGGCCCGGTAACAGAGGCCGGCGCGGCGCAGATCAGCCGTGGCCGGTCAGCTCGGCGACTTTCTTCGAATGGGCCACCGCTTCGCTACCGCCGGTCGTCTTGGTGTAGAGATCGAGTGCGTCATCCTCATCGGTCACCGGTGTCAGCGCCGTGTCGCTATAGTTCTTGGCCTCGGGGTCGCGTGCGATCCGCACAGCCCAGAACGTCGCACGGGCAATCGCCAAGCCGAACAGGACATGGGTCCGCACCGTGTCCCAGGCAAAGCGCGGCCAAAACACCAGCGCGTTCTGGCGCGGCAGTCCCGGACGCCGTTCGCTGGGGTGGCGCAGGCGCAAAATGCCCGATTCCAGCGGATGGACGTCCTCGAGGCGGATCGTCGTTTCGAACTGAACGAGCAGTTTGACGAGACTTGCAATCGGCACGCCTGTCGCCGCCGCGCGCCGCAGCAGCGTCTTCATGTGCTCGGGCGTGTAATAGAGCCGCCAAGCCTCATAGTAGATGGCGAGCCACTCGTCGCGGCTCATCTTCCCATGGTCGGTGACCACATGGTGCAGATCGTAGGCGTTCAGATCGGCATCCATGTCGACGCCTTTCTGCCACAAGACCTTGTGATCCTCGGAGCCGGGCAGCGGCGTCAGGTTGAAGAACTCGATGATGTCGAGCGGCAATTCTTCCTGCAGGATGCGGATGTCGCGCCGGATCGTCTCGGGCGTGTCGGCCGGAAAACCCAGAATGTAGCCGGCGAGCGTGATGATGCCCTGCGCTTTCCAGGCCAACAGCATCTTGCGGTACTCGGTGATCTTGTTCTGGCGTTTCTTGGCGGCGATCAAATTGTCCGGATTGACGTTCTCAAGCCCGATGAAGACGCGTGTGACGCCGGCCCGCTTGGCTTTTTCGACGAACCCGTCGATCTTGTGGCACAGTGTATCGACCTGGATCATCAGGCCGAGCGGAATGCCGTCTTCCTCGCGCAGCTTTATCAGCCGGTCGAAGATCGATTCCCATTCCCGGTTGCGGGCGAAATTGTCGTCCGTGATGAAGAACTTGTGGATGCCCTGTTCCCAGTTCAGCCGCACCAAGCGCTCGACATCGTCGGCCGACCGGTAACGCGACTTGCGGCCCTGCACATTGATGATGGTGCAGAAGGAGCACTGGTAGGGGCACCCCCGGCCGGCATCGAAGCTGGTCGAATGGCCGACGGTGCGTTCGACATAGCGCTTGGGCAGGAAGGGTGCCGGCGTCCCCTCGATGCCGGGCAGATCGTTCATATAGTCATAGAGGGGCTGGAGACGGCCCTGCGCCGCGTCCGACAGGATCGTGTCGAACCGGCCCTCGGCTTCGCCGGTGAACATCGAAACGCCCAGATCGCGGCATGCGTCGAGATCGACCGCGTGGCCATCGAGCATGGCAAGGCAACCGGATACGTGAAACCCGCCCATCGCCACCTGGATGCCGGCGGCGCGGAACTGCCGGGCCAAATCAAGTGCACGGGGGTACTGGTTGGACTGAACGCCGACCAGCGCCACCATGCCGAAATTGTTGTTGTCGGCGAACCGCTTGACCAGCCCGTCGACATCGATGCGCGTATTGGTCTCGTCCATCGCGTCGATGTCGATCTGGGTGTCCGGCCCAAGCGCTTTGGCCTCGGCGCATTCGGCGGCGATGCCGTAGACCGCAGCCAGCGAATTGGACGGGATGATCGACCGCCACCAGCGGATTACATAGCCGTCCTCGCCATAGTGCGACGGCTTGATCAGAACGAGCTGAAATCGGCGCTCGGCGGTCTTGGGCGATTGCAACACGGGGCCATCCCTTCGGCGGGCAGTTTGGCGCCTTCTACCATAGGATGAGTGGGATGGCGACCGTCCGCCGCGCAGGCCATCGTGGCTTGATCGAAGCTACGCCATACCGGTCTTGCCGCACCGGGGGCAGGGCATGTTGCGCTTGAAAAAATTGACCCGCGTCTGCGGCCCGTGCTTGCGGGCGAGCGCCGGAATGTCGAGGATCTTGGTGTGCGTGCAATGGCTGCACTCGAACATGACCACCTGGCCGGAACGCGCAAGGTCTTCGAGCGTCCAATAGCCGGGCACACCCAGAAAATCGTCAGAAGGTGCCATGGCGGCCCTCCCACATCGGCGGCGGGCCGCATCAGGCCCGCCGTTTGGTCGGCTTATCAGATATCCAGGTTCGCCACGGAAAGCGCATTGTCCTGGATGAATTCTCGCCGCGGTTCCACTTCATCGCCCATCAGCCGGCTGAACAGAGAATCCGCGTCCGTCGCATCGTTTACCTTCACCTGCAGCAGCGACCGCGCTTCCGGGTCGAGCGTCGTCTCCCAGAGCTGTTCGGAGTTCATTTCGCCAAGGCCCTTGTAGCGCTGCAGCGTCAGGCCCTTGCGGCCGGTCTCGAAGATGCTCTCGATCAGCGCCATCGGACCGGTGATGGTCTGGAAGGTGTCCTTGCGCCGCAGCGTCGCCGGCACGTCGAACGCGCCGTCGAAACGTGGCGCAAGCGCGTTGAGGGCCCGCGCGTCGGCCGACTGGATCAGCCCCGCATCGATGATCACCGCTTCCTTGACGCCGCGCACCGTGCGTTCGAACACGAAGCCGCCATCGCCTGCGTTGGAGGGATTGATCCGTCCGGTCCAGCCGCGTTCGGTCTCCTCGGAAATCGTATCCAGCCTGCCGGCAACCTGCGTCGCCACGTCCGCGGCCCGGCCCAGATCGCTCAGAAGCGCCGGATCGAGGGCGCCGCCCAGCCATGCCTGCTCGACCACAGCGCGGTCGTAGCGCGAATGCAGCCCCTGCAGCAGCGTGCGGCCCTGAAGGCTCGTCTCGATCAGCGCGCGCAGATCGTTGCCGGAGCGCACGTCGCCATCGCCGGTCTCGAGGCTGGTATCCTCCAGCCCCACATCGATCAGATAGTCCTCGAGCGCCTGTTCGTCCTTGAGATACTGCGAGGACTTGCCGCGTGTCACCTTGTAGAGCGGCGGCTGGGCGATATAGAGGTGCCCGCGTTCGATGATCTCCGGCATCTGCCGGAAAAAGAAGGTCAGAAGCAGCGTGCGGATATGGGCGCCGTCAACGTCGGCATCCGTCATGATGATGATCTTGTGATAGCGCAGCTTGTCGGCATCGAATTCGTCCTTGCCGATACCCGCGCCAAGCGCCGTGATCAGCGTGCCGACCTGATCCGAACCGAGCATCCGGTCGAACCGTGCCCGCTCGACATTCAAGATCTTTCCGCGCAGCGGCAGGATCGCCTGGTTCTTGCGGGAGCGGCCGGACTTGGCCGAGCCGCCGGCCGAATCGCCCTCGACGATGAAGATTTCCGATTTTGCCGGATCGCGTTCCTGGCAGTCGGCCAGCTTGCCGGGCAGCGAGGTGATATCGAGCGCGCCCTTGCGGCGGGTCAGTTCCCGCGCCTTGCGCGCCGCTTCGCGCGCCGCGGCCGCTTCGACCACCTTGCCGACCAGCGTCTTGGCTTCGGCCGGGTTTTCCTCCAGCCACTCGCCCAGCGTCTCGTTAACGAGGCTCTCGACCACGGGGCGCACTTCCGAAGAAACCAGCTTGTCCTTTGTCTGCGACGAGAATTTCGGATCGGGCACCTTGACCGACAGGACGCAGGTCAGGCCTTCCCGGCAATCATCGCCCGTCAGCGAGACCTTCTCCTTTTTGGCAAGGCCCGAGCTTTCTGCGTAGCCGTTGACCTGCCGGGTCAGCGCGCCGCGGAAGCCGGCCAGATGCGTACCGCCATCGCGTTGCGGGATGTTGTTGGTGAAGCACAGGACGTTCTCATGGTAGCTGTCGTTCCACCACAGCGCCGCTTCGACTGTGATCCCGTCCTTTTCGCCGCTGATCACGATCGGCGTTTCGATCAGCGGTTTCTTGGCGCGATCGAGATAGCGCACGAACGCCTCCAGCCCGCCATCATAGACCAGATCCACCTCCCGCCGGTCGGCATGGCGCGCATCGGTCAGGACGATGTGCACGCCCGAATTGAGAAATGCCAGTTCGCGCAGCCGGTGTTCGAGCGTGTCGAACGAGAACTCGGTTCGGGTGAACGTGTCCGTCGACGGAAGAAACGTGATCTCGGTGCCGGTATAATCGCCCGCATCGCCGGTCACCGCGAGCGGCGCATCCGCGACGCCGTGCGTGAAGCTCATCTCGTGGAACTTGCCGTTGCGGCCGATCTTCATTTTCAGTGACACGGACAGTGCGTTGACCACCGAGACGCCGACGCCGTGCAACCCGCCCGATACCTTGTAGGAGTTCTGGTCGAACTTTCCGCCGGCATGAAGTTGCGTCATGATCACTTCGGCCGCCGAAACGCCTTCGCCCTCATGAATGTCGACGGGAATGCCGCGGCCATTGTCGGTCACGGTCACCGATCCGTCCGCATTGAGCGTCACCGTCACGCGGTCGGCATGGCCGGCCAGCGCCTCGTCGATGGCGTTGTCCACCACCTCGTAGACCATGTGATGCAGGCCGGAGCCGTCATCGGTATCGCCGATATACATGCCCGGGCGCTTGCGCACCGCATCGAGGCCCTTGAGGACCTTGATCTGCTCGGCGCCATAGGCGCCATTGCCGGTTTCGGAAGGATCGGGAGGCGTTTGCGGTTGATCGCTCATGCGGGCCTTTTTTGTCTGTATCGCCATGTGCGCGCGGTGGACGCGAATCGGCGGGCCAATTGCCCAAGATATATAGGCTTTTGCGGGTCCGAATCCAAATCCGCCGCGCAGTTTGCGGGGGATAGACGCAACGCCGTTCCGGCGTGCAGGCCACATCTGGCAGCACTCGCAATGCAAGGCTGCCAAGCCATTGAATTCATTAATTGTTTACCATGCCGCCGTCAGCATGAGAGAATCGTTCCACGTTCAGGCGAGGACACGCATGACCGAACACGGCGATCTTCAACGGCAGCTGGCCGGATACGGGCTGACCACGGCGCACATTCTCTACCGCATGCCCGACCATCCGGGGATCTTGCAGACCTTCATCTGGCAGCATTACGATCTGGCCCCGGACTTTCCCGAAATGTACCGGTTCCTGGACTTCTGGGAAGACAATCTGGACGGCCCGCTGCATTCGGTGCGCTATGCGCACAAGCGGCTGATCAGCCCCGGCGAGTGGCGCAAGGTCGATGGCGAAATCATCCTGCACTGAGCGGCATCATCGCCTCGGCAGGCCGCGCTGACGGTCAGGCCGCCTTGACGGATTGTTGCTTGCGTGCCGCGACAGTGCGGGCGTCGGCCGGCTTTGGCCGGACCTCTCGGGCCTTTGCGGCCGGCCTGCGCGACAGGCGCGGGCGCCAGACGCCCAGAACGACGTTGGCCACCGACAGCGCCATCACAGTCCACAGCGCAGCCCATTCATAGGCGATGGCTCGTGCGAGCATGTCCGCCCCGGCCTCGCCGTTGGCCACCCGTTCGGCGACCGCCGCCGCATGATCGGCCTGAGCGGCGATCACCGTCAGGACGCCCTTGAACATGAGGATGCCCATCGCCGCCTTGAGCAGCACCCATCCCTTGTCGATGAACGGCTTGTGCACGGCCATCGACAGGAGCCCCGTCACCAGCGCGATCGCCAGCGACGGCAGCAGCACGTAATCGCTGATGGCGGCGATCGCCTCCCGCAAGGCGCTGTAGGCGCGGGGCGTCTGCGGATGCGCCACGATCAGAAGCGCCATGTGTCCGGCAAGCCCGCCGATCAGCCCGCAGGCCGCGATCGTGTGCAGAATTTTCAAGGTCTTGCGCATGCGCACTCCTTTTTGGCGTTTCCGACCATCTTATAGGGCCTGTGGGGGCCATTGTAAGACTGGCTGTACCGCTGCCGGACCCGGCCGTTTCCGCGTTGCTCGTCCCGGGCAAGCCGCTGGCGATCGTCCACTCGGAAGCCGCCGCAGTTCCGCAGGGCGTGCGCACCTTCCCTGATGGCCATCTCGGTGATGCCACGCTGCCGATGCTCGAAGATGTCACGCGGTTCGACTTCCGCGACAATCCCGGGGACGTGACCGGTGACGCCGACACTGTCGCCGATCATCTCCGGGCCAACGCCGAAGGCTGAGCCGACAGCGAAATGCTGCGTCCAGTCGTCAACAGGCGCCGTTGGCGGGCCTCTTTTGCTTCGATGGTGCCGTTGCCGCTGGATCCGCGCTGATCCCTCCGGTGGAAGCTTGGCGGCTTGATATTCCTTTTACGTAAACGTAATGTCGAAGCCCTGCGAGCGATGGTGCGCCATGAATCTCATCTTCCGTCTAATCTGGATCGTGCTGGCCGCGTTCCGCAAACCGGCCACGGGCGTTTTCGATGAGACGCGTATCTGCCTGCGTGTTCTGCCGAACGATCTGGACACCAACATCCACATGAACAATGGCCGTTACCTGACGATCATGGATCTCGGTCGCGTCGATCTGACGATCCGCTCCGGCCTGTGGCGTGTCATGCGTGCCAATCGCTGGTATCCCGTGGTCGGCAGCGCCAGGATGGTGTTTCGCCGCCCACTCGACCCGTTCCAGGCATATGAACTGACGACGCGCGTCGCCGGCTGGGATGGCAAATGGGTTTACATGGAGCAACGCTTCGTCGTCGGCGAAACGGTGCATGCCCGCGGGGTGCTGAAGGCGCTTTTCCTCAAGGGGCGAGAAAAAGTGCCCAGCGCCGAACTCGCCCGGGCGCTGGGCCATGACGGTCCCTCGCCGGACCTCGATCCGGAGATGGTGGCGGCGCTGGATTGAGGCGCCTCACATCGGGATCGGCCATTTGCGGTGGACCTGTTCGATGTCCGCAAGCACCGCATCGTCCAGTGTGACATCGGCCGCGTCGATGCAGGTCTTGAGCTGGTCCATCGTCGTCGCGCCGATGATCACCGAGGTCAGGAACGGTTTGGAGAGGCAGAAGGCCAGCGCCATCTGTGCCGGATCGAGCCCGTGCTTGCGGGCGATGTCCAGATACCGGCCGAGCGCCGGCTCCAGGTAATCGGTCACGCGCCCGCCGATGTTCTCGTTGATCGTCCGGCGCGAGCCTTCCGGCAGTTTGCCGCCTTCATATTTACCGGTCAGGAGCCCGCCGGCCAGCGAGGAATAGGACAACAGTCCCACATCCTCATGATGGCCCAGTTCGGCGAAATCGAGATCGTAGATGCGGTGCAGCAGCGAATATTCGTTCTGCATCGACTGCACGCGCGGCCAGCCCTTCTCCCCGGCGATACGCAGATATTGCGCCGTTCCCCACACGGTTTCGTTCGACAGGCCCAAATGCCGGATCTTGCCCTCGTCGACCAGCGCCTGTGCGGTTTCGAGAATCTCCGCAATGCCGTCGAGCGCCTCGGCCTTGTCCTGCTTGTCGGGCGCATAGGTCCAGCTCTGGCGGAAATGGTAGGAGCCGCGGTTCGGCCAGTGAATCTGGTAGAGATCGATATGGTCCGTCTGCAGCCGCTTGAGCGAGCGTTCGCAGGCGGTGCGCATCTTCGCCGCATCGATCGGCCGCCCGCCATCGACGCCATGGCCGCCCGGGCCGATCACCTTGGTGGCGAGAACGATCTCGTCACGCCGTCCGTCCTCGGCCAGCCAGGTACCGATGATCTCCTCGGTGCGCCCTGCGGTCTCGATCGCAAAAGGCGTGGTCGGATACATCTCCGCGGTATCGAAGAAGTTGACGCCTGCCTCGACCGCATAGCGCATCTGGGCATGCGCCTCCTCCTCGGAGTTTTGCGAGCCCCAGGTCATCGTGCCCAGGCAGATCTCGGACACGTCGAGGCCCGTGCGGCCCAGCTTGCGCATTTTCATGGTCGTCCCCAAATTGGTCTGGCTGAAAATCTTGGATGCACTGAAAGATAGGCCGGCCATGACGGCGCTTCCACCCGTTCTTTATTCTTTTCGCCGCTGCCCCTACGCGATGCGCGCCAGGCTGGCGATTGCCGCAAGCGGCATCGCGGTAGAGCTGCGCGAGGTGGTCTTGCGCGACAAGCCCGCCGCCATGATCCAAGCGTCCCCCAAGGCCACTGTGCCGGTCCTTGTCTTGCCCGACGGTACGGTGATCGACGAAAGTTGGGACGTAATGGTCTGGGCGCTGTCGCAAGCCGATCCCGAATGTTGGTGGCCGAAGGATCGTTCTGTTCGTTCCGAAGTCGAAACATTGGTGGCCGCCAATGACGGCTCGTTCAAGGCGGCATTGGATCGCTACAAATATCCAAATCGTTACGAAAACGAAACAATATCGGAAACCCAGCAGCGCGCCATTGCGGCGGACCATCTTCAGCCGCTGGACGCACGGCTCAAGCGCCATGAGTGGCTGCTCGGAGATCGCGCCACGCTCGCCGACTACGCCATACTGCCCTTCGTGCGCCAATTCGCCCATGTCGATCGGGGCTGGTTCGATGCGCAGCCATGGCCGCATCTGCGGGGCTGGTTGGACCGCTTCCTCGCATCTGAACGCTTTGCGTCGATCATGCGGAAATACCCGCAATGGCACCCGGGCGACGTCGAAACCGTATTCCCGTGATCATCTGTCACCTTTGACCGGGCGCAAACTGCGGCCATATTGGCCAAAGTCGAGGACAGTCGCCATGGACACCAAGCCGCAACCTTTCGTGCCGCCGCATCCGGTTCCGCGCACCCACATACCGACGCGGCTGGAAGTGGTCCGCACGGTCATGCGCAACCCGCTCGAACTGTGGGGAGAGCCGTCCTACACCAAAACGCACATCACTGCGCGCTTTCTCAACGAGACGACGCTGATCTGCAATCATCCCGAGCTGATCCGGCACGTCCTGGTCGACAACCAGAAGAACTATCGCATGGCGCGGGTGCGCCAGCTCATCCTGCGCCCGATCCTGCGCGACGGGCTCCTGACCGCCGAGGGCGAGACCTGGCGGCGCGGCCGCAAGGCGATGGCGCCGGTCTTCACCCCGCGCCACATCAACGGGTTCGCCGACATGATGCGGTCGCGCGCCGACACCTTTCTTGAGTGCTACCGCGATGGCGCCGGCACGGTGCGCGACATCAGCCACGACATGACCGAGCTGACCTACGAGATCCTCGCCTACACGCTGTTTTCCGACGAGGTGGTCACCGATGGCGTCGATTTCGCGGAGGATGTGGACCGGCTGCTGTCGACCATGGGACGCGTCGATCCGCTTGACCTGCTCAAGGCGCCCGAATGGTTTCCGCGCATCCAGCGCCTGCGCGGCAAGGCGACGCTCGCCAAGTTCCGCAAGGTCGTCCGCGACACGATGGATGCAAGGCGCGAGAAGATGCGCACCGATGCCAACGCCGTCCGCAACGACTTTCTGGCGCTCTTGCTTAACGCGGAAGGTCCCGACGGTCTCGACGCCGACGAAATCGAGGACAATCTGATAACCTTCATCGGCGCCGGCCACGAGACGACGGCGCGCGCTCTGGGCTGGACGCTTTATCTGTTGGCCAATGCACCCCACGAACGGGCGCTGCTCGAAGCAGAGATCGCAAAGGTTCTGGCCGATGATCCGCCGCCGGTCGAGTGGCTTGAAAAGATGCCAAAGACCCGTGCGGCTTTTGAGGAAGCGATGCGGCTCTATCCGCCGGCGCCGTCGATCAACCGGATGGCCGTCGAAGACGAAATCTTCACCTTTAAGGACGGCACATCGGTCGAGATCAAAGCCGGGACGACAGTGCTCGTCATGCCTTGGGTGCTGCACCGGCACCGGCTTTACTGGGACAATCCGAACGCCTTCCAGCCATCGCGTTTCTGGCCGGAGAACCGCGGCGCGATCGACCGGTTCCAGTATCTGCCGTTCGGCGCGGGCCCGCGAATCTGCATCGGCGCCACCTTCGCGCTGCAGGAAGCGGTGATCGCGCTGGCGCTGATGCTCAACGAATTCCGCTTCGAGCCGACACCGGGCCTGGCGCCCTGGCCGGTCCAGAAGCTCACCGTGCAGGCGCAAAACGGCCTGCCCATGCGGATCGTCCGACGCTGACGCCAAGACCACAAAGCCGTTGCGGCTGTGCCGCGCACGCCATACATGCTGACGCCGCAAACAGGCGTGATCCATGTCCCTTTCTCTCGGTCTCGATACGGGCGGCACCTACACCGACGCGGTGATCTTCGACGCTGCCGCCGGCTTGGTTGTCGCCAAGGCCAAGGCGCTGACCACCCGACACGATCTGGCGATCGGCATTGCAGAGGCTGCCGGCAAGGCGCTTGATAGGGCCGGCGCCGATCCGGCCGCGATCGGCCTGGTGTCGGTCTCGACGACGCTCGCAACCAACGCGCTGGTCGAAGGTCAGGGCGGGCGGGTCGCGCTTGTCATGATCGGCTTCGGCGAAGCCGATCTCGATAAGGCCGGCCTGCGCAATGCGCTCGGCGACGATCCGGTCCAGCTTCTACCCGGTGGCCACGATATTCACGGCCGCGCCAAGCCGCTCGATCTGGCGCCGCTCGAAGCCCGGATCGATGCGCTCGGCGCCGATGTTTCCGCCTTTGCGGTGGCCGGATATTTTGCGGTTCGCAACCCCGAGCATGAGATCGCCGTGCGCGACCTGATCGCCACACGCACCGGCCGCGCCGTCACCTGCAGCCACGAGCTGTCATCGAAACTGGACGGCCCGCGCCGCGCCTTGACCACGGTCCTGAACGCCCGTCTGATCGGCCTGATCGCCCGGCTGATCGCGGCCACGCGCGGCTTTTTGGCGGAACGCAGCATCACCGCGCCGCTGATGGTCGTGCGCGGCGACGGTTCGCTCGTCTCGGCAGAGTTCGCCACGCTTCGGCCGATTGAGACGATCCTGTCGGGGCCGGCCGCGAGCGTCGTCGGCGCGCATTTTCTCACCGGCCGTGATGATGGCTATGTCGCCGACATTGGCGGTACTACGACGGACGTCGCGATTCTGGATGCCGGACGGCCGATGCTCGACCCCGCCGGCGCCGAAGTGGGCGGTCACCGCACCATGGTCGAAGCCATCGACGTTCACACCTATGGTCTGGGCGGTGACAGTGAAATCCATCTCGAAGACGGCACGCTCGAACCCGAACTGTGCCTGGGTCCGCGACGGCTTGTTCCAGTGTCGTTGCTCGAAACGCTCTATCCCGGACAAATTGTTCCGCATCTGAAACGACAGCTCGATTCCCCGTTCGCAGGCCGGCTCGATGGTCGGTTCGCCGTCCAGGCCGGTCTGCCGCAGGACCAGTATGGCGGTCTCACCCGGTCGCAGGCCGATCTGTTCGCACGGATCGGCGACGAGCCCGTGCCGCTTGACCGGTTGTTGAGATCCACATCCGAGGTGGCAACGCTCGACGGGCTCGCCGCGCGTGGGCTGGTTCTGGTGGCCGGCTTTACGCCCACCGATGCCGGGCATGTGGAGGGCCGGTTCGACCATTGGAACACAGACGCGGCTCACCTGGGCGCCGCGCTTTTCGCCCGCCGCAAGGATGGGCGTGGCAGGCCGATCGCGGCCTCGCCCGAAGCCCTGGCCCGAACCGTCGCCGAGCGTCTCGTCCGCCTTTCTGCCGAACGGGTGCTGCAAACCGGTCTGGCCGCCGATGGGCTGAGCGATCGGCGTCTTCTTGCCTCGCCGCTCGTCCAGCGTGCCCTCGACCGATCGGGACACTATGTGCGTGCCGCACTTCTGCTTGACCGCCCGGTGATCGGGCTAGGCGCCGGCGCGGCATCGGTCTATCCCGGCGTCGGCGGGCTCCTGGCGATCGAAGCGGTCGTGCCCGACCATGCAGATGTCGCCAATGCGATCGGCGCGGTGGCCGGTCAAATTCGCGTTTCGGCGATGGCCGAGATCGTCCCGGATGATGAAAGCGGCGGTTTCGTCGTCTCCGGTGCCGCAATAGAACCGCCGCGTCAGGTCCTTCGTTCGGAGAAAGCAGCGCTCGAAGCAGCCGCAGCTGCCTGCCGCGTCGCGGCGGCGGCCAAGGCCGCGGCGGCGGGCGCCGGCGAACCGGAGATCGATGTGCGCAGCGACGTCGAGGCGGTGACACTCGATGATCGTCGCCAGTTCGTTTCCGCGACGGTGACCGCCACGGCAACGGGAAGGCCGGCGGCGGTCTGACGCGGCGCCGTGGAGCCGGGTCGCACTATCGGCTGGATTGACACCGAATGGCCGGCCGCGATAACCGCGCGCAACCGCTTTTTGCTGCACTGCAGCCAAACCAGCTCTTGGAGACCTTCATGGCCGACCGCATCGACCGCAATGGATTGCAGATCGACAAGGCCCTGCACGACTTCCTCGTCGACGAGGCAATGCCGGGAACCGGTATCGACGCGGACGCGTTCTTTGCCGCCTTCGCGGCGATGGTTTCCGATCTGACCCCGAAGAACCGCGCACTTCTGGAAACACGCGAGAAACTGCAGTCGCAGATCGATGCATGGCATGCAAAGCGCCGCAACCAGCCGCATGACCATGACGCCTATCGCGGCTTTCTCGAGGAGATCGGCTATCTGTTGCCGGAGGGACCCGATTTCGAGATCGAGACCGCCAATGTCGATCCGGAGATCGCCAGTGTGCCCGGCCCGCAGCTCGTCGTGCCGATCACCAATGCCCGCTATGCGCTCAACGCCGCCAATGCACGTTGGGGAAGTCTCTATGACGGCTTTTACGGCACCGATGCGATGGGCACGCCGCCCAGGCCCGGCGGTTACGACCGCGGACGCGGAGCACGCGTCGTCGCCCGCGCTCGTGTCTTTCTCGACCAGGCTTTCCCGATCGAGGGCACCAGCCACGCCGATGCGCGCCGCTACCACGTCAAGGACGGCGCGCTTCTCATCGACGATCTGCCGCTGCTCGAGCCGCAAAAGTTTGCCGGCTACAGGGGCAATCCGAAAGCGCCCGATGCCGTGCTTCTGGTCAATAACGGGCTGCACGTGGAACTGGTGTTTGACCGTGCCCACCCGATCGGCAGCCGCGATCAGGCCGGCCTCGCCGATGTCATGCTGGAGAGCGCGGTGTCGGCGATCATGGATTGCGAGGATTCGGTCGCTTGCGTCGATGCCGAAGACAAGGTTCTGGCCTATGCCAACTGGCTCGGACTGATGAAAGGCGACCTCAAGACCAGCTTCGAAAAGGCCGGCCGGCCGGTCGATCGCAAGCTCGAGGCCGATCGTCGTTACACCGGCCCGGACGGTGGTGAAGTGATCGTCAAGGGCCGGGCACTGCTCTGGGTCCGCAATGTCGGCCATCTGATGACCAATCCGGCGATCCTCGATGCTGATGGCAATGAGGTCTTCGAGGGTCTTATGGATGCGATGATCACCACGCTCATCGCGATGCATGACCTGAAGAAGGATGGCGGCGACCGCAACTCGCTGCATGGTTCGGTCTATGTGGTTAAGCCGAAGATGCACGGACCGGACGAGGTGGCGTTCGCCGGCGAGATGTTCGATCGGGTCGAGGATGCGCTTGGCCTGCCGCGCCACACCGTCAAGCTCGGCGTGATGGACGAGGAGCGGCGCACCAGCGTCAATCTCAAGGAGTGCATCCGCGCCGCAAGTCATCGCGTCGCCTTCATCAATACGGGCTTTCTGGACCGCACCGGCGACGAGATCCATACATCGATGGAAGCCGGTCCGTTCAGCCGCAAGGACTTCATCAAGCGCAAGTCCTGGATCACCGCCTACGAGAACCAGAATGTCGATATCGGTCTGAAATGCGGCCTTTCGGGCAAGGCGCAGATCGGCAAGGGCATGTGGGCCATGCCGGACCGGATGCACGCCATGCTCGAACAGAAGATCGAGCATCCCAAGGCCGGCGCCAATTGCGCCTGGGTGCCCAGCCCGACCGCCGCGACGCTGCACGCCTTGCACTATCACCAGGTCGATGTCTTCGCGGTGCAAGCGCAGCTCAAGGCGGCCGGGCGCCGCGCCTATGTCGATGCGGTGCTCGACATTCCGCTCGCGACCTACCGCAAATGGAGTGACCGGCAGAAGCTCCGCGAGGTGGAGAACAATGCGCAGGGGATTCTGGGCTATGTCGTCCGCTGGATCGACCAGGGCGTCGGCTGCTCCAAGGTGCCGGACATCAACGATGTCGGCCTGATGGAGGACCGCGCAACGCTGCGCATCTCGTCGCAGCACATCGCCAACTGGCTCTATCATGGCATCGTCACGAAGGAGCAGGTCGTCGACACGATGAAGAAGATGGCCGAGGTGGTCGATGGCCAGAATGCCGGCGACCCGGCCTACCGGCCCATGGCGCCCGATTTCGACGGCTCGATCGCATTCCAGGCGGCGCTCGATCTGGTGCTCAAGGGCCGCGAGCAGCCCTCCGGCTATACCGAGCCGATCCTGCATGCCCGGCGTCTGGAACTGAAGGCGGCTTGAGCCGGCAAGCCGGCTTCAATTGGTTCGATTCTTGCCGTCGCGCGGATTGATTCGCCGGCGTTGCAGCGTCGCTGCCGCGATCTGCTGGATGGCGGCGGCGAAGATGCCGAGCCCGACGAAGATGAACACCGTTGTGCCGACCTTGCCCAGGGCGGTCGCGGGAACCAGATTGCCGTAGCCGACGGTCGACAGCGTGACGACTGCGAAGAAATAGCTGTCCACCCAGGTCCAGCCCTCGACAAGGCGGAAGAACACGGTGCCGATGCCGATGATCAGTGACAGGCTGGTGACAAGGGCGACAATGCGAATGCTGGGCATGGCGGGAAACATCCGTTAACCGCCGACAAGTGTGTCGGCGGTCGGCCGCGAAGGCCAGCGGCTGGCGCCGGCCTCCCCAGAAAAATGGCATTGGCTTTGCGCGCAGGTCAGGTGCCGCCGAACCGGATGGCCGTGATCCGGCCCTCCCAGAACGGGATGATCTCGCCGCCCGCGGCACGGGCAATGGTGAAGGCGAGAGGAACACGCACGCCGTCGATCATTTGGTAGTCACTCCGCGCGGTGTGCTCGCCCGAGCCGTGATAGGGCGTCGTCAGGTCGCCGTCGGTCTCTGCATCGAACCGCGTCAGCGCGCCGTCCGCATCGAATGTGGCGACGAGCGCTGCCTCCTCTCCGAAGGCGCGCACGACCGCCCGCGACCGGTTGTCGTCGACCGGTTCCCAGGTCACCGGCCCGCCGGGCAGAAGCGCCATCGGATAGGCCGGGCTTTCAAGAAGCCAGCGGCGCAGCGACGTCCGGTTCAGCGCCGGCGTCGATGTTTCGTACATGACGGTGACCGTCGACAGCAGCTTGGCCGCCATTTCCATCTGACCGTCAATGTAGGCATCGTAGGCAATCGCCCAGACCGGGCCCCAGAGCGGCGTGTCCGCCGAGAACACCAGGTCCGGCGCCCGCAGCGAAATCACCTGCCGCGCCGTCGTCGGTTGGAACGTCTCGGTCAAGGGCCGGCGGAACTGGCCCGCTGCCTCGATTTCCACATAGGCATGGTCGGGCGGGCCGTCGGGAAAGACATAGGCGAAATAGCGGGCAACCGGTTCTGGAAGCGTGTCGGGCAACGTTTCGGTCCACGGCGCGGGACTTGCGGTGGCCCGGTCGATGACGGTCCGCTCGAACCCGGTGATCGCCGCGCGTGTGGCGTGGGCATGGTAGGCGATGGTGCCTGCGACCACGGCGATGGTGGCGACTGTCGCCGACAGGATCATATTGCGTCGTTTCATGGGTGTCTCCTTTTCGGGTGCCGCCTAGCGGCTTTCGATGAGGGGGAAGATGGCGACCGCCAGCGCGGCGGTCGTGGTCAGCGTCCGAACCGTGTTCCAGAAGGTCCAGCGTGCCGAATAGTCGGTCCAGATCGCGGCCGCGTCGTCGCGCGCCGGATCGATCGCGGCCAGTGCCTCGTTCATCGGCACATTGACCAGCGCGGTCGGCACGACGGCGGCCAGGACATAGATGCCGGCGGCTGCGGCCATGAAGAGGCCCGAACGGGTGTCTCCGATCGCAAATGCCAGTACCGAAGCGCCAACGGCGAAGACCGGGGTCAGGAAGAAGGTGACGAAGAAGACCGGATTTCTGACCGCCGCATTGATCGCCTGCATGGCGGCAATTGCCTTGTCGGGCGAGATGGCGTCGAGGCCGGTCATCACGCAGACCGAGAAGGCGTAGAAGAAGCCGGCCATCAGGCCGAGCATGAGGATCGGCGCCATTGGCGCGGTGCGGGTGAGTTCGATCATGACAGCATTGCTCCATCAGTGTAAAGTTTTGTACGTTTGCAATGATCCGTAAAAAGGTTTACGGAATTTTGCAAATGAAACTTTGGTAAGGGACAGACCGCCATGGGCGATTATGCAGACCGGCGCCGCACGGCGATCGAGGATGCCGCCTTCGCGCTGCTGATCGAGAAGGGCTACAAGGCCACGTCCATGCTGGAGGTCGCGCGTCGGGCCGGCGCGTCCAACGAGACGCTCTACAAGTGGTATGGCAACAAGCAGGGTCTGTTCGCCGCGTTGGTCAAGGCCAATGCGCGGGACGTGGCCGAATTGCTGCGCAGCCGCCTCGACGGCGCCGATGCAGACCCGCTGGAGACACTGGCGACCGTCGGCCCGCTGCTTCTTGATCTGGTCACCGGCGAGCGCGCCATCGCCCTCAACCGCGCTGCGGTCGGCGATGTCCATGACACCGCGACGCTGGGCCCGGCGCTGGCCGAATCGGGGCGCGAGGCGGTCGTGCCATTGATCGCGGAACTGCTTGGTCGGGCGCGCGACAGGGGACTTCTGGCTTTCGACGATGCCGGCGAGGTGGCCGAGACCTATGTCGCCTTGCTCATCGGCGACCTGCAGATCCGCCGCGCAACGGGCGCGATCGGGCCGCTGACCGATGATGCGATCCGTACACGGGCAATGCGTGCCGTGGGGCGGATCGTGCGCCTTTTTACACCCTGATCGCCGTCAACCCCGCGCCGGCAGATCCGGCAGGCCGACGCCCGTGGCGGCAAAGCCGCCGTCCGCGGCGATGATCTGGCCGGTGACGAACGCCGAATCGGGTGAACAGAGAAACCAGATCACGCTGGCGATCTCGCTCTCGGCGGCGTGGCGCGGCAGCGGCATGTGGTCGTAATAGGACTGCCGGATTTCCGGCGTGTGCACCTTGGCGGCCATGGCGGTTTCCACCGGTCCCGGCGCCACGCCATTGACCCGAATACCGTAATCGCCCAGTTCGGCCGCATATTGCTTGGTCAGGTGGGCCAGCCCGGCCTTGGACGTGCCATAGGCAACGCGCATGGTAGATGCGCGAATGCCCGAGATCGAGGTGACGTTGACCACCGCGCCGCCGCGCCCGGCGGCCACCATGTGGGGAGCGACCGCCTGTGTCATCAGGAACGGGCCGTTCAGATTGGTCGCCATCACCTCCGTCCATGTCTCAAAGCTCGTCTCGAGCAGCGGCGCGAACTCGGCAATGCCCGCATTGTTGACGAGCGCGTCGATCCGGCCCGGCGCATCAAGCGTCTCCGCCACCGCCGACGCGACCTGATCGGGCATGGACACATCGCACACGATCGGATGGGCGCGGTTGCTGCCGAGTGCCCGCGCCTCTTTCTGCAGCAGGTCGCCCAACCGGTCGATCATGACCACATGCCAGCCCTCGGCCAGAAACCGCTTGGCGGTCGCCAGTCCGATACCCCGTGCGGCGCCGGTGATCATCGCCACATTGCCGTCTTGTTGTGTCACATTGTCCTCCCCGACCGTTGAAATCGGTATTGGCATGGTGGACTGGCCGCTGCAAGCGCCCCCGGCTTCCCGTTGGCCGGTGCAAATTCCTCCATCATTCAACCACAATTGTCTTGCTGCTCGCCGAAGCGCGCGCTAGGGCGGATTTCGCCTTTCACTTGGGACAAGCGGCGTCGTGCGAGCAATGACGCGGGCCAGTTGGGACGAAACGCATGACCCTGCGCTACGGCGTCATCGGCACCGGCATGATGGGCCAGGAGCACATCCGCAACATAGCGCTTCTGGAGGGCGCGACCGTCGCCGCCATCGCCGACACGCGTGACGAGATGCGCCAGGCCGGTCTCGCCGCCGCGCAGACCGCCGGCATGACCGGTGTGGCCGCATACGCCGATCACGCAACACTGCTATCATCCGAAACCATCGACGCGCTGATCGTCGTCAGTCCCAACGACACCCATTACGACATCATGCTGGATGCCCTGGCGACCGGCCTGCCCATCCTGCTCGAAAAGCCTTCGGCCACATCGGCCGAAAGGGCGCGCGATCTGGCGCGCCGCGCCCACAACCGGCACGCGCCGGTGTGGGTGGCGATGGAATACCGGTACATGCCGCCCGTCGCCCGGCTGATCGAGGAAACGCGCAACGGCACCGCAGGCGATCTCAAGATGATCTCGATCGTCGAGCACCGCTATCCGTTTCTGGTCAAGCCGGGAAACTGGAACCGCTTTTCCCACCGGTCCGGCGGCACGATGGTGGAGAAATGCTGCCACTTCTTCGATCTGATGCGGCTGATCACGCAGGCCGAGCCGGTGCGCATCTTCGGTTCGGGCGGCCACGATCTCAACCATCGCGACGAGGTTCATGACGAGGGCGTCCCCGACGTGCTCGACAACGCCTTCGTCATCGTCGATTTCGACAATGGCATGCGCGCATCCCTTGATCTGTGCATGTTCGCCGAAGGCTCCTGGTGGCAGGAGCACGTCTCGGTGACCGGTTCGGCGGGCAAGATCGAGGCGATGGTGCCTGGCCCGTCGCGTTTCTGGCCGGGCGGCGGCGAACGCGCCTCGGAAATCGTGATTTCCCCACGCGCGGACAAGGCGCCGTTGCGCGAGGAAATCCATGTGGACGATCAGGTGCTCGCCGCCGGCGACCATCATGGCGGTACCTTCTACCAGCATCGCGAGTTTGCCCGCATCGTTCGCGAGGGCGGCAAGCCCGATGTGAGCTTGACGGACGGGGCGCGCGCGGTGGAGATGGGCGAAGCCGCCGAACGGTCGATCCGGAACGGCGAGATCGTGCATCTGGGGGACGCGCCATCATGATCCTGACCTGCGGGGAAGCCCTGTTCGACATGTTCGCAAGGCCGTCCGACGCATCGGGCGGCCACGGCGTTTCGGTTGATGGCGTCGTCGGCGGCTCGCCGCTCAATGTCGCGCTTGGCCTGTCGCGGATGGGCACAGCGGCGGGCCTGTTCACACGGATTTCCACGGACCTGCTCGGTCGTCGCCTGCGTGGCTTCATGGCCGACAATGGCGTGTCGGACCGCTACTGCGTCGAAACCGACAATCTGACGACGGTGGCGCTGGTCGAAACCGGCCCCGACGGCCATCCGCGCTATTCCATCTACTGCAACGGCACCGCCGACTGCTCGATGGAACCCTCGGATATCCCAGATCAGCTCGGCGACGGTGTCGATGTGATCCACCTTGGGTCTTTCGCGACGGTGTTCGAGCCGACCGGAAACACGCTGCGCACGCTGGCCCGGCGCGAGGCGGATGCCCGCTTCATCTCGTTCGACCCCAACGTCCGCACCATGGTTGTCGCCGACCTTGACCTGTGGCGGCAGCGAATCGGCGAAATGCTGCCGCTCGCCGGCCTGGTCAAGGCAAGCGACGAGGATGTCGGGCTTTTATGGCCCGGCAAGCCGCTCGAATGGTTCATCGAACAGGCACTGGTTGCCGGCGCGGATCTCGCCTTCGTCACACGCGGGCCCAATGGCGCGATTGCGGGATCGGCCGACGGACGGCTGACGCACGTGCCGGGCATTGCCGTCGATGTCGTCGACACTGTCGGCGCCGGCGACACCTTCATGGCGGCGTGCCTGCATTCCCTGAAGGCGAACGATCTCGTGGGAGCCGGCAAGGCGCGCAATGCCGATATCGCCGAAGTGGCCGGCTTCGCCGTCAGGGCCTCGGCGCTGACCTGCACCCGGCGCGGGGCCGACCTGCCGACGCTTGCGGAGATTGAGGCATTCGCCGGCTGAACCGCCATTGCACCGCCATGGTTCGGTGCGTATCACTTGGCCCTTCCGCTTTGCACCGCGCGCGAGACCGAGATGATTCTCCATCATATGCCCATGTCGGCGCCCTGCCGGTTCGTCCGCCTGTTGCTGGCTGAATATGGCGTCGAGGCGCAGTTGCACGAAGAACGTCCATGGGAACGCCGGCAGGAGTTTCTGGCGATGAACCCGGCCGGGACCATTCCCGTCCTCGTCGCCGAGGCGGGTGTCCCGCTCAGCGGCGCCCACCCAATTGCCGAGTACCTCGATGAAACACGTGGCGTCATGGCGCGCGAACGCCGCCTGATGCCCGACTATCCGCTTGAGCGCGCCGAGGTGCGGCGCCTGGTGGACTGGTTCATCGTCAAGCTCGAAGCCGATGTCACCCGCGCGCTCGTTCGCGAGCGAATCGACAAGCTGGCAATGCCGGCCGAACTGGGGGGCGGCGCGCCGGACAGCGGAGCCATGCGCGCGGCCCGCGCCAACATCCGGCAGCATCTGCGCTATCTGAACTGGCTCGCCGGCACCCGCGACTGGCTTGGCGCGCCATCGATTTCCGCCGCCGACATCGCCGCCGGCGCCGCCGTTTCCATCCTCGACTATATGGGCGAGATCGACTGGTCCGGGGTGCCGCAGGCGCGCGACTGGTACACGCGGATGAAATCGCGGCCCTCCTTCCGTCCGCTTCTGGCTGACCGGGTGCGCGGCCTGACGCCGGTTTCGCACTATGCCGATCTCGATTTCTGAGACCGGGCCGGATAGCGTGCCGCCATGCCGACGGCCTTGTCCCACCGCCTGACCGATCCGAAAAAGGCGCGCGCATTTATCGTGCGCGATCTGCAATCGCTCGGCTTCGACGCGATCGGCGTCGCGCCGGCTCACAAGATCGACCGCGCCGCCAAGGGCCTCGACCGGTTCCTTGACGCAGGCCGGCACGGCACGATGCATTGGATGGCCGACACGCGGGACCGCCGCGCCGACCCGACGACGCTCTGGCCCGATGCTCGCTCGATCGTCATGGCGGCGATGAGCTACGGCCCGGGCGATGCCTACGATCCGCTCGCTGCGCTCGAGCGGACCGATCGCGCGACCATTTCCTGCTACGCCCACAACCGCGATTATCACGATGTCATCAAGGGCAAGCTGAAGCAGGCGGCCGGCCGGTTCGCCGCGCGCACCGGAGCCGACGTCAAGGTCTTCGTCGACACGGCGCCCGTGATGGAAAAGCCGCTGGCCGAACGGGCCGGGCTCGGCTGGCAGGGCAAGCACACCAATCTCGTCAGCCGCAATCTCGGATCATGGTTCTTTCTGGGCGCGATCTTCACCGACATGGCACTGCCGGCGGACGAAGCCGAGACCGATCATTGCGGCTCGTGCCGGGCGTGCCTCGACATCTGCCCGACCGACGCGTTTCCAGCGCCCTACCAGCTCGACGCGCGACGCTGCATTTCCTATCTGACGATCGAGCACAAGGGACCGGTGCCGCGCCCGTTCCGCAAGGCCATCGGCAACCGCATCTATGGCTGCGACGATTGCCTGGCGGTCTGCCCGTGGAACAAGTTCGCCGGCGCCGCGCGCGAGGCGAAGCTCCAATCTCGTGACGACATGCGCACGCCGCCGCTGGATGAACTGCTGATCCTGGACGATGCGGCGTTTCGTGCGCGCTTTGGCGGTTCCCCGGTCAAGCGGATCGGCCGCGCCCGTTTCGTGCGCAACTGTCTGATCGCCGCCGGCAACAGCGGCGAGCGGGCGCTGGTGCCTCATGTCGTCGCGCTGCTTGACGATGACGAGCCACTGGTACGCGGCGCGGCTGTCTGGGCATTGGCGCAGATGGCGCCAGAGCCGTTTACCGCCGAAAGGGATGCACGGCTGCTAGCGGAAAAGGACCCCGATGTCGTTTCGGAATGGAACAGCACAGAGGAGGCTGCCGTTGACTGAACGGATAACGCTGGTTTTCGGCGCCGGATTTTCGGGCCGCGCTTACGGCCGTCGGCTCGCCGCCGCCGGCGAAACCGTTTTCGGCACGACGCGCGATGCTGCCAAAGCCGACAGCTTGCGGCAACTGGGCATCACGCCGGTGATCTTCGCCGGCCAGGCCTTGCGACCGGATCTGACCGATGCGATCGCACGAGCCACCGACATCGTCGTCTCGATCGCCCCGGATGCCGATGGTGATCCGGTGCTTCACGCCGCGCGTGAAGCCATCGCTGCCGCGCCGAATCTTGAGTGGATAGCCTATCTGTCGACCGTCGGCGTTTACGGCGATCATGACGGCGGCTGGGTGGACGAAGCCACCGAACCGCGCCCCGTTTCCGAACGCTCGATCCAGCGGCTCGCCGCCGAACGGGCCTGGCATGCTTTCGCCAAGGAACGCAATGTGCCGCTGTCCATCCTGCGCCTGTCGGGAATCTACGGGCCGGGTCGCAACGCCTTCGTCAATCTGGCGGCGGGTCGGGCGCGACGTCTGGTCAAGTCCGGTCAGGTCTTCAACCGCGTCCACGTCGACGACATCGCCGGCGCGCTGGCCTTCCTCGCCGCGCGCCGACATGACGGCATCCTCAACGTCACCGACGACCTGCCGGCCCCGCCGCAGGACGTTGTCGCTTATGCCGCCTCGGTCATGAAAGTTGATCCGCCGCCGGAAATCGACTTCGAGACCGCCACATTGTCGCCCATGGCCCGGTCCTTTTACGGCGAGAACAAGCGCGTTTCGAACGCGGCGATCAAGGCGTTGGGCTTCGTTTTCGCCCACCCCGACTACCGGTCGGCATTCGACCGGATGTGGGCAGAGGACAGCTGGCGGCTGTCGGCCTGATTGCCATTGCCGTGCGCGTCCAATGCGACGGAAGGACTTCAAATGTCGATCAGAGCCATGGCGAGCGGCGCGGGTTGCGCCGCGATGGTGTTTGGCGCCCTTTTTGCAACGGTGCCGGCGGAGGCCGCCCAGCAATGCGGAAAGGCGTCCTGGTACGCGCTGACCTCTCGCACCGCCTCCGGCGAAATGATGGACCCGGCCAAGATGACCGCGGCGCATCCGTCGCTGCCCTTCGGCACCCGCATCGAGGTGACCAACCGTGCCAACGGCCGCTCGGTGACGGTGCGGGTCAACGATCGCGGACCGTTCGTACACGGTCGCATCGTCGATGTCTCCAAGGAAGCGGCCCGCCGCCTGGGCATGGTGCGCTCAGGCATCGTGCCTGTCTGCATCAGCCGGACGGGGTGATCCGTCGTCCGGTCAACCGGTGCGGGCCTTGCCCACCGTGTCGAGCGCGCGGCGCAGATGGGTGTCGCGGTCATAGACGTCGGCATGATAGTCGACAACGCCGTCATCGTCCGGCCAGGCGGTGAAATAGCCCACATAGACCGGTACGGTCTCCGCCAGTTTCTCCACCTGCTCATAGCCGCCAAGCTGCGCTGCCACATGCTCGGTGCTCTTGCCCAGCACCGCCGCGGCCATGGCGCGCGGGTCTTCGAGCCGCACGCAGCCATGGCTGAACGCGCGGTTGTCGCGCGCAAAAAGGTTCTTGGCGGGCGTGTCGTGCATGTAGATCGCGTGGCTGTTGGGGAACATGATTTTCAGTTCGCCAAGCGCGTTGCGCGGCCCGGGCTTCTGCCGGACATTGTAGGGAACGCTGCCGGAGAACTGATACCAGTTGATCGAGGACGACGCGATCTGCCGGCCCGAAGCGCCTGTGACCACATAACCGTTGCGGTCCAGATAGGACGGGTCGCGCCGCAGCTTTGGCAGCATTTCGTTGACGATGATCGATTGTGGCACGCCCCAATAGGGATCGTAGACCACATGCTCGATCTCGTCGTGGAAGAAGTAGGTCTGGTTTGAGCGTTTGCCGACGATCGTCCGCATGGCCAGCTTGGTTTCGCCGTTTTCCATGTAGCGGACGCGGTATTCGGGCTGGTTGATGACCACCTGCCGGCTGCCATAGGCTTCCGGATGCCACCGCAGCCGTTCGAGCGCCAGCTCGACCCGGTTGATCTTGGTCGCAAGGCTTTCGCCATCGAGCTCGGCAACTGTTCTCGGCCCGACGATACCGTCTGCCACCAGGCCGAGATCGCGCTGCACATCGCGCATCAGCGCGACCAGCGCGCCGTCATAGAGCGTCGTGCCGGAATAGGCATCGATGATCGCGGAATGCTTGGCGCGGGTCTCATCCGACATCTTCTCGCCAGCCGCTGCCATCACCATCGGCAGAGCCTCCGACACCGTGCCGGGGCGCAGGAATGTGCCTTCGGGAATGACGATCGCGTCTTCGGTGCTGGTGCGCAGGGCAGCCAGTTCGTCCTTGAGGCGCCGATAGTCGGACTGGCGCGGCGCCAGGCCTTCGAGCCATCCGGCCGGATCGCCGGCCGCCATCAGCCCGTCCAATGCCGCATCCGCCGTCAGCCGGTCCTTGGAAAAGTCGTGATATCCGGACAGCTTGTTGGGATCGACGGCGCCGTCCTTCATGTCCATGGCATAGCGCAGCGCGCGAGCGGTCAGTTGAAGCTCGAAGGCGATCAGATCGCGGTAGCGCGACGCGGGGTCGTCCGGCGACCAACCCGCAGACGGCAGATCGACCGCATAGTGCGCGGCATCGAGGCCATGGGCGGCCGCATCGTTGACCAGGGCGGCAACGTTCTGGCCGTTGGCGTTGAGGTTCATTCCGCTGACCCAGACAAAGGCTGGGTTTTCCGCGTAGTGACGGCGCATGGCGTCTGCAATTGCCGGCTCGATGGCCATGTTTTGATCGGGCGCGAAATCGAGCGCCTGGACGAACCGGTCTTCCTCCAGAACCGGCAGCGGCGGCAGAGAACTGTCCGTATCGTCGATGGCGCCGGTGGTCGCCACGTCCGGGAGCAGTGAAAGCAGCGTCACCGTGGTGATCGCCGGCGCGGCGTAGGTGTAGTATCGCGGCCCTGAAATGCGCTGGACCGGGCGCGCTGCGGCGCGGCTTTGGGTCGGGCGCTGCGGCGCCGCCTGCTGGCGA